GGAGCAAGGAAAGTGTGCCCATACTCTCAAATCTGCCCACACTCCAAGGCTTTCTGGCTCAGCAGGACCTATGAGAACTTATAGTATACTGTCAGCCTTAAGGAACTCAAAGTCACCCCCATACCACCCTGAGACATTGGAATAAGGCTTCGGGAGAGGAAATTTGCCATTCATATGTATTTTCTTGTGTGTTATTATGTTCCATTTGCCATGACATATAAATGGTAACCTCTGTGAAGGCAGAGTTCAACCTAAACGACTGTGTTTAGTACTGTGCCTTTTGTTGATGCAGATAATGGTGGTACCTAGTGTAGCAGATGTGGACTTCCCATGAAGCTGAGCATGTGGCCTGGCCCATTCTGGTGGGACATGAGCTCTGGCCCTTTTCTAAAGGATAGCATGATCCAACAACTCCTACTGGGTCACTTCATGCTCCAATCTACCCCCACTGTTCTTATATTTGCATATGGTAACTTAATTTCTTAACTTAGGTTATTGTCACAAAAATCCTATGGAATTGGTCGATGTATCCACACCTCCACCTCCATTTTACCGATAACCAAGAATAGCTCCCATTTAAGGTTTACAAAGCACTTCCCTTGCAACAACATTTCCCAATCCATCATCCAAAATAACTTTCTTTTTTCACATTTATTTCTTTTATTTTTAATTTATGGAATAAAACAAGCATTTCCATAACATAATATAATAAAAAGGTGATTGCACATGAAACTGCAGATCTATTATGTACAACTTGCTATTCCTTTTAAATTCATAATCAAGTTATCATGTAAAGTTTTTTTTTCTTTTTTTTCCCCTTCCCTCCTAACGCACAGCTCTGACCATGCTATTCTCCTGCTCAAAAATCTTCAATGATTTCCTATTGCTTCTGGGAAAAAATACTCTTCTCAGCTTGACATTGCAAGTCCTTCCCAATCTAGCCCCAACGTACCTACCTTTCCCAGCTTTCCCCCGCATTGTGCCTTTTCCTGTACTCTGTGTTCCAATTAAACTGGCCCCTCTACTGTACCCTGAGCTCAGCTTTCCCTCTCTGGCCTCTATAGCTTTGTGCAGGCTGTCTCCCTTCCATGCTTGGAAATATATACCAGTTTCCTTTCTGCTTCTTAGAGCCCTTATTTTCCTTGAAGGTTCATCACAGGTGTCCCCTCCTTTGGAAGTCTATCATGGTGCCCCTCATTGTCAGTACTCTCTTCCTTGTCAAATTATATCATATTGATTTATCTGTCTTACATGTTGCGTCCTAAGTAGAGTGTAAGCTTGTTGAGGACAGGTACTACATTTTGGTTTTTTTTTCCTTGCATCTCTAGTCCTTAGCACAGTGCCCAGCATAATAGATACTTCAAGAACTATTTAATGAATTGTGTAGAACCCTGTGAGGTAGGTAATAAAAATATTAATAGTTCCTTATTTCAAATAAGGAAACTGAGACTCAGTGGTTAAAGGACTTTACCAAGATCACATATTGAGTTAGTGATGAAAGGGATGCTAGATCAGCCTACTGAATGTTAACACAAGGTCTTGCCCCTTAGCTGGGATAGTCCACTTCTCTTTGTTTTATAGAGCCCAGGAATCTGAAGTGATGGGGGCACTGAGTGCTCCCCAGGAACTCTCCACTATAACTCCTTTATTGGATTCAACCCTGCCCCAACTTGCTGGGTTCCCCTGGCAGGCTACCTGTCGCACTTTTCCTTCAGCGGAGCCAGGTTTTTCCTCACCAAACAGGTTTGGGAGGCAATGTCAGCCAAGCCTAAAGAGATCTGAATTTCCTACTTAGACTGCTTTTCAGGATGGGTGTTGGGGAAGAGGCTATTATTCTCCAGGGAAAAATGAAGAAATGCAAACTCCAGCCATTTTTCTGGTTGCAGCCCCTACCTATATTGGGTGGAAAGATTATCTTCCCTTAGCAAAGTCTCCTTTTTTGAGAGCTGGTATCACAAAGGGGTTAAAATAGTGGGCTTGTCCTCCTTTTGCTCCTTGTCAACAGTGGTTAGATAGGTGTGTATCAGGAAGGAAAAAAAATGGAAAGATTTAAAAAAAAAAAACTTAGCACAAGCACACTTACAGTATACTAGCCAAACAAAATAAAACAAATCTCATATGGGCTTGTGCAGGTGTTAACAAGGACATGGACTTTGTCCATCCTTTAGACAGAAGTAGGTAAACAAACTGCGTGCAGAACACAGACACAATTGGAAAGAGAAGGCCAAGTGCATGAAGACAGCTGGGTAGGTAGAAAGAGAACGTTCTAAGGATCGGGGGATATTTCCATGTGCCTGCTGGTCAATAATCCCCAGTGTTTCCCAGGGGTAATCTCTCTGACTCTCTCCCATCTGGGAGCTGATGGACAGTCCCTGCAACATCCCCTATAATCGAGGTCCTCTTCCCTCTGCCCTCAAGAGAAACTCAAAAGAAAGTTAAAAGATGGTGAAAATAGAATTTACTTAAGGTCCTCAAAAGCCCCCTCTAGAGTCCTAATTTCTACAGGTGTCCCTTGGAGGGACACTTTTTGGACCACTAGGGCACAGGGTGAAACTAATAAAGGTGAAGGTCACATTTTCTGGGTCATGGCATCAGTACAGATCACAGGAGCTGAGAATCACAGCTAAATCAGACTGACAGATACCCACACCAACCCACTCTGGAATGGGCTGTGCTCTAGGTATTGCTGGGAAATATAGAAGAATCCCTCAAGTGAGTTTAGAAGAGGTAAGCTCAACAATCATGGATTACAAAAATTCAGTGCCCAGCTGCCTCTGTACTTCTGGCTTTCCCTTCTTGATTTTATCTGTGGTCTGTGTGCAGTTTGACTATTGTTGTCTAGGTTATACAGTCCATGGCCTTGCTAACTCCTGCTCAGCTTATTATTTTCTTTTTGTAATGTTACATTGGTGCTTTTTGCATCACTATCACTTCCAAATAAACCACTTTCCACTTTCCCCTCACTCCAGAATCCCTCCATTATAACAAGGGTAAAAACAGTTAAGCAAAACAGATACATCAACCAATTCTGGCACCATATGCAGCAGTCTCTACCTATAGTAAACCACCTCCCCACTAATAGATGGGAAGAATGTTTCATATTAGGACCCAAGAATCAAACTGGTCATCAAATTCATCTGAATTCTGATGCCTTTGAATATTTTTTCCTTTACATTATTTAGTTATGGTGTGTATATTACTCTTGGTTCTGATTTCTTCACTCAGTATCATCAGTCCATATAAGCCTTCTCATGTTTCTCTGAATTCCTCATATTCTCAGTTTTTGAGTGCAATAATATTTCATCACATTCTTATAGCACAGTTTGTACTGCCATTTCCCAGCAATGGGCACTCACCTTTTTTACCTTTTTTTTTTGGCTACCATAAAAATTTCTGCTATGAATTTTTTGGGATCTATTTCAGTTCATTTCTTTCCATCCATGATTATGAAGACTCTCATCATCCTGGTTACCTTACTCTGCATGTTTTCTAGGTTAACACTAACGTTCACCAAATGTAGTGCCCAGGACTGAATACAACAAAGCAGGACTATCCCTTCCATTATTTTTGGATGCTATTCCCTTAATGCAGTTTAAGATTATATCTGTTCTTTTTGGCTGCTATAACACACTAGTGACACTTCTAATCTAGTAAAACTCCTAAATATTTTCCACAGTTATCCAGTCATCCTTCCCCTATCTTGTACTTACAGAGCCGATTTGAACCTAAGTGTAAGTTCACATTTATTCCTATTAAATTTCACCTCATTATATTCACTTCAAAGTTTTACCTACTGTGATCTTTCAGGATCCTTACTCTGTCATCCAATATGCCGTCTGTCACTTCCAGTTTTGTGTCTTGTTTAGACCAGACAAATGCACCATCTATGCCTTTGTTCAAATTAGCAAGATCAGATCTCCAGGACCCTCACTGCCCTAGAGAGCTTGTTCCACATCAACATAGGGCCACCAACGACTGCTCTTTAGGTCCAGTCATTGTTATTTGTTTGATTGAGTTAGTGCTTTCTGCCTGATCCCTTGACACCATGGTAGGTTCTGAATGAAAGGCTCTAAACTTTAGCAGAGGGAAAGCAACAACAGGCTCAGAGACGCCCAGGGAAATGCCTGAGGTACAATACCCGATTTGATGATTCCCATCTTCCAGCTCCCCAGAGCTGCTATCAGGTTTAATTACAGGTGATCTCTTTGGGCCCATACTGCCTGGACATGTTTTCCAAAAACTTAAAGGGAAATGTCAACAAAAGGGCTAAGGGCCCCGAGGCAGAGACTTTTATTAAGTGGATTTGTTCTGTGAAGTTTGCATTCAGTCAAAGGGCTGCACTTGAGGAACTAGAAGGCCACATGTGACCTTGAGACTCTCCATAGCCCCACCTCTGCAAGGGCTGGGCAACTGGATATCAGAAGTGAGGTTAAAGGGACTGGCATGATGCTGCCAGGGTAGAGAAGACTGAAGGAGGACTTAAAAACAACCTTGGAGTATATGGACAGGTTAGTACCCAGAGAATAGTAATAATGGAGGATGGAACAAAAGTGGGTCAAATATGGAGCAAGAAGAATTGAAACCAGATATCAGGAAAAAAAATTGCAAATGTTAAGCAAGGCTAAAGGTTACAAAGATTCCAGCAATCTCCTAGCTTTAGAATTACAAAAAGTTTGTGGATCTTTAAGAAAAAAAAATAGATCCTTACTTGTACAGTATTGAGTAGGTACTATACCTCTTGAAAGCAGGAGAATAGATAAAAGTATCTTTCACATCTATGATTCAATGAATGTTTGCTAACTGAATAAATTATTTACTTTGCAGTTAACACAGGAATTGACCCAAAGCCCTCCTTTCCATAAGCAGAAAGAAGTCACCTAAGCTTTCTCAAACATTCCAGTTATAAGAAGGCTCCCAATCATGGCCTCTTTACTGACCATGACCCAGTGAGTTAGAAATTGGTTCCTGTGAACGTACATCAATACCATTACTCACTCAAAGGCTTTCAAATTACCTTTATTAAAATCTTTTTTTTTCTTTTCATTTTTTTATGAAACACCTCAAAACACTTGGCGGTCAGTTACACGAATCAGTAAAAGTAGTGACAACTCATAAGACACTCAACAAAGTTCAACAAATTCCAACCATTTACAAGCCAAAGCTTAAATTAACAAAATTTTTATAAGCTCAATAAATATGTTCTGGTCCAGTTCAAGTATAATTCAACAGATCACAGCCTCAGATATTTCACAAGTAAAAAACCCTGATGATACCGGCCCGATGCTACAACTACACTAAGCTAGTGTTCAAGCCAACAGTTTATTTGCTGAATTCTGTGGGGGGAGGGGGGGCAGTGACTGAATATTGCTTTCTTTTGGGGCAGGGTGGAAAGGGAGGTTGATTTTTTAAAAAGCAGATCTTTGTAATATTAAAGCCTAAATTTTATCTAGGGAACAATGTATGTATTGCTAAAAATGGTAAATACTTTTGAGCCCCCTTTTGGGGACACACTTGGAAGTTATCAACAAACATTGCAGAAAAACGCCTTTTAAACAGAATAAGAACTTGCCTGGGCTGCTTTTAACACTGTACTGGGTTCAATACATATAGAAATAAAAAGTGCAAATTATGAAGATTGGTGAAGAATCATGCCAATGGTATTGTATAAAAATATATATTATATATGTATATATGTACACATGTATATCCTGAAATCTTTTGTAAATAGAGGATCTTGATGGAGTAAAAGAGATAAAAGCCTTAAGAAACATGGTTAGTGAACAACTCTCCACCCCCACCATGGACATATTCAGTTTATCAGCAAGGAAGACCTAAGAGTTCCTCAGGAGAAGCAGCCAATCCAAATTTCCATGCAAACCCTGCCAGGTGGAACAGGCGATGGCAGGGGATTTTCCTACTTTTGGGGGAAGAGTAGGCTGTTGCCCTCTGGGGCAAGGTGAACCTCTGCAACAACTTTCTGATGGTGACAGTGTAAGGTTTATCCCAATCTGGTTCAGTGAGTGGCACAACCCTAGAAAAGCTGAGAAATGCATCCCCTCCCCTCTCTGGGATGGCAAGATAGAGACATATGAGGTCAGGATATTTCCCAGAAAGGAAGGAACGGCTAGTGCCGAGGACACAGTACAAGCATTCCTTGTTCACAGGCTACTTTGGCAACTGGATTCATGATGTGTGGGGACAGGAGAACAGGTCTGGATTGAGCTCCAGTCTTCAAACCCTTTCACATCTCTTAAAAACCAACCTTCCTGAGGTTCTAAAATGTTCTAATGACAAATTTGGCTTCTCAGCTTTGGTAAAGCCCTGACCTGGACATGTCCAAACTGGTTTATTTTCCTTTAGTGCCTACCTGAAATCCTCTCTTATACACACACAGGTTTCCAATACCTGTATCTCCTCCCTGGCAACATTTGCTCAAAGTTTATACTCCAAAGTCTTATTATGTTTATGCTGTTTGTATTATATTAGTGGTTCAGACCCAGACCCTATCGATGAAATGTCCACCAAGTTCTAACCTATCATGAGAAATTAATAATTCTCTCATGCTATGTCTGCCAGGGGTGATAAGACCAAATACTGGGAATCTCTAAAGATTTCTTTAACTGCCTACCTTTTAAAGGTCCAAGAAGGCGAGATCGACTTTGCAGAAGTATCTTGACTTCTAGGGGCAGAACTGGGCTCCACTTCATACCCTTCTGAGGTTTCCCCCACAGGACTCGGAACTTCACAAAAAGTATCCAGGACCAAAACACCACACATGGAATAACTGACTCACTGGCTAGGGACAACATTGAAACTGAGCAAGTGTCTGGCCTAGAAAGGTAAAATCTATCTAATGCAGGAATGATCCCCCTGATCACCTCAGATCTGCAAAGAGTTTGAGTACAAATTATTAAAAGCCTCATGACAAGATACTTCAAACAGGATCATCACCAACTAGCTACAGACTCCCTTAATCCAGGTGTGAAGGGCCCTAGGTCAAAGGAACCTCCAGGCCTAGACTTAAGTTCAGCAACCTCTTTTTTCCTCAGTTGATCCCAAAGCTCAAGGGGCATCTTAAGATCATTGGGTTAGGAGGTTTTTCAGAAGAATGCAACCCAGACACCCCAGCATGGAGGCACCTTCGGGTGAGTCAAGGACAGAATCTTGGCTGGCAGTTTCATTGTTTTGGTGTTTCTCAATCCAACTCCAAGCACTGCTTTATGGCAGTCATTTGTCCCCGACATACACCAACTGCTATTTTAGCTGGAGGCAGAGGAAGTGTATGCTTCATTTTAATCCAACTGAATCTATACCAGATCCACTGTCCAAAATAAAACAAGCCCTCATTTCTCCTCAATCTGGGGTGGGGGTGGGGGTAGAAAGAAGGAGAGGATTAATCTGGAGGGAAATTATCTAAGCTTTCAGAAAGGTTTTTTTTGGGTGTCTTTCAAAGTCTGCTTCATTTTAATTTAAGACATAAAGCCAATGAACTTTCAGAAATAACTGAATGAAAGATCTTTAAAAACAGGTTACTAAAAATGGTGGCTTGGCCATACATTTGGAGAATGAAGGAGATTGAATCAGGCCCCTTAAGTATATACTCCTTGCCTTTCTTGGTGATGTTTGTTCTAACTCTAGAGCTCCGGGTACTCTAGCTGGGCTATCCCAGGCAACGAACAGCAAGCAGAGAGATGAATACTACTTCATTCAAGTGTCTCTTTACATAGACTTTTCTCTTTGAGGCCCTTCCCCTGGATGATCCACCCTTCTCTTGGCCTGATGTATCATGTCCCATCAAGAATTTAAACCTTGTTAAAAATCCCTGAGGAGTCAGGTTTTATGAAAAAGAAAAGGATGTGGGTACAGAACGCAAGGAGAGTCAGGTGAAAGTTTGAAAAAGGGCTTGACAGAGAAAGAAACACGCACGCACACATACAGAGAGGACATGCAGCTCTGCCTGTTGGGCGTGCCAGGTCTGCTTTGTTGTGGGAACAGTTTGGGGAGCATTTTCACTGGTTCTCTGGGTCCTGACCCAAACAATGTGTCCTCTGCTTTGCTCTGCTTTCCCTCCTCATCTCGAAGGAGAAGATGCAGTGGTCTTGTCTTGGAGATCAGCAAGGCACCACTGGCAATCCCTCATTCTCCCTCGTCTTGTTTCCACTGGGTCAGAGCTTTTTCCTCTCAAAGTGGGGCACAATTCCGATGCCACAGTCATCTGGCTTCGGGCTGCTGCCCTGTTCATTGCTCTGTAGGCCTTCCTCTGCCAGCTGGGACAAATACTTCTGTGCAGGAAGGAAAAGCAAATTCAATTCCAAGAGAATGACTGAACAAGCACCTGTTTTGGACCAGGCCCTGCCCTAGGTGCTCGATAATAACAGATTACATGCGCACAATGCTTGACAGTTACAAAGTATATTCTCATCATAATTGAAACTTAATGTAACTCTGGGGAATTGGCAGGACAGTCATGATTCCCCCATTTTACAGCTATGAAAACTGAGGCCAAGAGTGTGTACATGCCTAAAAAGTCATGTGGCTGAGAAGTGGAAAATCCAAGACTACATCCTAGGTATCATAACTTCCAGTCCAGTGCTAGTAGGCATTGTGACATAGTGAATAGAGAGCTTAACTTGGAATTAGGAAGATCTGGGTTCAAATCCTACTTCTGATACTAATTGTGTGAGCACGGTCAAGACAATTATCCTATTTAAGCCTCAGTCTTCTCATCTAAAAAATGGGAATGATAATACAAGTAATACCTCACAAGCTTGTTAAACTCAAATGAAATAATAATGTATGTAAAATGCCTTGAACATTTTAAGGTGCTGTGTAAATGGCGGTTCTTTACTTTTTATTATTAACAAAGAGACCACAAAGAGAGATGTCACGTCACCACAGCAATCTACAGAGAGTTTATTAGCAAAGTATTCAAATGCCAGGGGGAACTGGAGGGAACAGATGGAGCAGGGAAGTTCTTTCCCTCCAAACTTCCTGGCAATGCAGCCATCATCAATAGCTCATGATTTTACCAAAAGATCAATATACTGCGTTAACGTGCTTCCTTCATTTCAACAGAAATGGAGACATGTAGTATAAGGGAATTATAATGTTGCATGCATGAATAAATTGTTTTTGTTTTATTTTTCTTTGTTACAAGGGTGGGTCAAATTCTGTTTGAGATAGGGACAACTGCAATGTAGAAACAAAAGATAACAATAACAGAAGTTACTAAAGTTTCTTTTTTTAAAGAAGAAGTATTTTAGGGACACTATTTTGCAGAAGCCTCAGAGATCAACAGCATCTGAATTTCTAGCTACCTTTAGAACATATTCAGCTTGATGGTCTACTGACACTTTAAAATTTGTATGTACAAAACAGAATTTATCTTTTCCCCTAAAATGGCTCCTACTTCAGACTTCATTCTTTTTGCCTATGGCACAACTGCCTTTCTGGTTATTTTTTGACTCTTTCCTCTCCCCCCCCCTTCCTAAATCCAATCACTTCCAAGTCTGGTTAATTCAACCTCTTACATCTGTCTTTTCTTCTTTCCCCTCACAGCCCTATTTCTGGATTGCAGACTTCCAAACTGTGCCTCTGCTGCTATCTTGTCCCTAGAAACATCCAATAATCCCTGGAGTCTTCTCACCCCCAGAATATCCCCCAGTAAGGTCCACCTCCTGCTCCCATTGCTGAGTACCTCCATTGTGTGGAAGGGCCTAGGCTGCCCTTTGTTACTGCCCAAGCCCTTCTCCAAGCTGTACTCATGGCTCTGGACTTCCTCTACTATGCCACTGAAACCTCTTCACTCTAGAAGTTCACTTCCACCTTGGACTTCTCACTTTGGAAGTACCCTGTGTCCCTGTAGCCTCTTCCTCTGACTGGCTAATTTCTCCTAGGACTTTCATTTTAAGGAAGATGCCCAGGCCAGTCATATCTTCATTCCTCTCCAGCTTGCTCTCCTGACTCCACCATGCCGCTGTGTGGGTACTCCCTCCCCCTCTCCACTACCACCCCTAACCTTGACAGCTTCCATCTATGTGTTGTCTTCCCTCATTAAAATGTAAGCTCTTTGAGGGCAGGAACTGCATTTCTTTCTGCTTATATCTGTATTCCTAGCGACCACTGAAAGGATGAAGTAACACCTGCCTTGCCTCACTACCCAGTGGTTTTTTATTGATCAGGGCATGGCTATTCCCCATCCTCCTTTCCTCCTCTATTAGTACCAGCATTATATTGCACGTAGACTCCCTGCTGCAAAAGGAGGAGGCCAGGGCTAATCACAACCTGTCTTGCTCTAAGCGAGGAAAGAACTGACAGCTGTTCCTCTGCCTTGCAGTGTGTCACACATGCAATCTGGGGGGGCTGAAAGGGTAGCAAGACTACACAGAAAATATCCTGAAAATGGCAGCAAAAGAAAAGTCTCTAGGGGGGCTGAGACAGATGCTCGAGTGGCTTTGAAAGAGGAATCTAACCTATAGTGAATCAGAGCTGAACATTTTAGTAAATTCCAGGGGCTCATGTCCCCTCCTCACCCCCACCCCACTTCTCTGTTAAAAATCTGCCCAGGGGTCCAGTAGCATAAGAATTTCTCTAGATTGCTTTGGAAAGATGGCTATACTACTTGGGTAAACAGTCCTGTGGTCAGAGTTAGACTGCCACATCTTTTGGAGGTAGAGTCAAGGAATGGGGGTGGGGGGGACAGATGTATTTTGAGAAGATTACTAACATGAACTATCCAGTTCAATTCAACTGAGACAGGCTATAACCATAAACTGTCCCTGCCCATAAAGGAGGCTTGGGCTGGGCAGCAGGGCTTTGGCACCATTCATTCATTTACCCACTTATTTGTAAAAACCCTTGCTGATCAACTGCTCTGCGAAAAGCACTGTACTCAGTTACTGAGGGATATTCAGATTTTAGAGAAGAAATAATTCCTGCCCTCATGAAGCTTATAGTTTACTAGAGCCCTGGAGATCCCTTAACTTTAAAGCAGCAATTTTCAGGAATGAAACTAAGATGACAAATTACTTCAGGTTTTTGGACAGGGATCAAATAGCCCTTCACAAACTATGACACCGATGGTCACTTGGCCAAAACTCAGAAAGCTATTAACATTGTCCTTGGTACTTGACCTGCAATTAGGGTAAGCTGCCCCCAGGTCAATAGTGATGCCTTTGATGAGATCACATAACCCAAGTCCTCTGGAGTACAAACAGCTACAGGTATCCTGTGGCTCTAGAGCTTTCTGGCCTCTGACACAGACTGCTTTTGTCTAAAGAGGTGTAACAGGGGACTGCTCCAGCCAACATCAGAAGCCAGCTTTTCGGAAAAGAGAACACAGCATGATTATTAAGCAGAAATATATAGGTAGGCCAGATAGGACTTTAAAGTCTCATCTGACAACCTAAGATTCTGGTGCTAATGAAATTGTAAATACTTTAGTGAATTGTTTTGTGGAAACTGAACAATGAATAATATTAATTTTTACTGACAATATACATAGACCTAATTTAGGGTTGGCAAAGCACTTTACATACATCATCTCATTTGATCCTCAAAACCAGTGGTTTTCAAACTTTTTTGTCTTGGGACTTCTTTATACTTTTAAAAACATCAAAGACCCTCTCCCAAAGAGCTTTTGTTTATGTGTGTTAAATCTATCAATGTTTACTACCTTAGAAATTAAAACATCTTAGTATTATTATAAAAATAGTTTTGACCTTGTAGGCCCCCTAAAAGGGTCTTGAAAACTTACAGGTGATCGTGGACCACACTTTGAGAATTGTTGCTCAAAACAGTGATGTGGGTATTCCCATCTTCCTATTTTACTGATTAGAAAACTGAGGCTTAGAAAGATTAAATGACTTGCCTAGCGTCATATAACAGCATAGACAGCATTTAAATCTATGTTTCTCTTGACTCCTAATCTAGTACTCTTTCTATGATATCACACATTCTCTCAAGGGATCTTCTGCTTTCTCTCTTTTGCCTCAAGGGCTCCGACTATTTTCATCTCCCCTCCTCCTGCCTTGCCATAAAGAAGTTACTTTGATTGTTGTGATGATCAAATATGTCATACTCCTTCTAATTTGTGAAAAAGGCCTGTGTTTTAATTATGACTGTTTTCTAACCTATAAATACTTTCCTTACCTGTTGGAAAAGGAAGAAGGTAACTTGCTAGGAGTCTTGTAGCTAGCTGCTAACTTAGAGCTGAACAAATGAATTGACTTGGCATTTTGGGGCCTGCAGAATTCTGTAGGAATTGTTGGCAATGAATTTTAATGTCATAATCCCCTGTCCAACCTGGAATAACTTACTCCCTAGTGTAGGGTAGAAAACACTACATTTGGAATCAGAAGGCTTGGGTCTGAATCCCACCTTTGTTCTTTACTATCTGTGGCCTTGGGAAAAATCTTCTCTGGGCCTCAGCTTCCTCATCAGTAAAATGAAGGCGCTCAATTCAATAAACTATTATTCTTCTAACTCAAATGTCATGACGCTAATGATTTCCCACTGAGCAAACCTGAGATTTAATTGGGGGGTAGGTGGGGTGGGAATGCAGAGAAGATGGCAGAGATGACCTTAGAAACCACCTTTAGAATCAAGGGCATCTCTGTGATAATCTCGTGTGCGGCTTCACAAGGAACCAGTTTGGGACGTTTGGGGAGATTTGTGGCATATTGAGGCAGACACTCGCTTTCCTCAGTAAATCTGAGCTCCCTGAGGCTTTGACAATAGAGGGAGAAACGGAATGGGAGAAGGCATGCTGCCCCTACCACATTAGGAAGAGACCCTGATCTCTGCACAGTGTCCTGCCAGTGCCTCTCAGGGCAACAGAGCCCCTTTCTTACCTGCAGATTTCTGTAGTGGATAGAACTGCGGCAGTGGCTTGTCTTTGCTGTCTCCTCATTAGTGTAGAAAAGACCACACAACTTGCAATAAAACCCCGTCCTGGGCACCACAAACTCTACTCCTGTCCAAGAATGGGGAAGGAAATAATGTTAGAAATATGGCAGACTCTCTCCTTGTCCCCAATGCCTTTGAGGACAATGACCGACTTGGGCCTGGCCAGGGTCTGGGCAAGTTTTGGTATATCCCTAGGAAAAACAAGGATAATTCATGTTTGTATAATGCTTTCGAATCTGCAAACTGCATACTTTTACATTCATAATTTTACTTAATCCTCACATGTGAGGTAGATAGCATAGGGTAGGGGTGGGGAACCTGCAGCTTTGAGGCCACATGTGGCTTTCTAGGTCCTTGGGGGCAGCCTTTTGACTGAGTCCAAGTTTTACAGAACAAATCCTTTAATTAAGAGGATTTGTTCTGTGAAGTTTGGATTCAGTCAAAGGGCCACACTTGAGGACCTAGAGGGCCACAGGTGGCCTTCAGGCTGCAGGTTCCCCATCCCTGGCATAAGGGTTACTATCATTTTACAGATGAAAAAAATGAGGCCTCAATAAGTTGTGATTTATCCAAGGCCACCCCCTTTAAGAAGCTTTCCCTCATTCCCCTGACCTGATATGATCTCTCCCTCTGCCTAATTCTCATGGTATTTTGTACCTCTCCTAGGGTCTTATTACACTCTTCCTGGCATTATAGTCACTTGTTCCTTTACCTTATCTTATCTTTCTTTACTAATTTGTAGGCTCACTGAGGGAAAGATTGAGTCACATTTATTCCCTGTAACACCTATATAGTCTGCACATAGTAGGTGCTCAGTGAATGTGAAATTATGAAAGCAGTGGATGGGTGGAAATGAACACTAAACTACAAGTCCAGAGTTTGCCTAATAATAATAGCTAGCATTTACAGAGAGCTTTAAAGATTGGCAAAACACATTAGAAATACATATTTGTAATAGTATACATTTTCACTTACAGTATACACTTATATTATACCTTTATCCTCACAACAATCCTGGGAGGTAAATGCTATTATGATCCCCACTTTATAAATTAGGAAACCAAGGCTGACATTGGTCAAATGATCTGCCCAAGGTCTCAAGCTAGTTAAGTGTGTCTATGACAGGATGTAAACTCAGGTCTTTCTGACTCCAGGTCCAGTGTTCTATCTACATGAGTCTGAAAAAATTTAAGGAACTTGTCCAAGGTCACACAACCACGAAATTAAACTCTCTATACATCCTGCCATAATAAACACTATTATAAGGAAATGGTAGAAAGAGCCTTGGGCTTAGAGTCAGGAGAATTGGGTTCTAGTACATATCTGAGAGGTTCTAAAAAATTATAACATAGTATACAAGTATAAGGGTTGGTAAACTCCCTAGGTCTGCCTTCATGGCTGTGGCTATTCCAGTTTCAGGAAAGAAACCTCTCCAGCCATCAGAGGACACCCGTTTTTCATCCCTATTATCTCCAACCTTTCATCTTCAGGACCTGAGACACATCATTCTCCATGACTATATAGAGTAGAAAATGAGTATTGGTGGCAAGAAGATCATCCATAGGACATAGCTTCTGGAGTCTCTTGGCACCAGGAAGGAAGTTATCCAAAACTGAAATGGTTCTAAGTCAGCTGCTAAACAGCTGTACACAGTGCACAAGTTATGGAGGGCTTGAAATGACTGTTCTCCTGCTCATCCAAGCAGGAAAGATTGTCAGTATATCTCAGCGCCCCCTGAAATAGATAAGAATTCCAGGCTTGCCATTAGCAAGTTAATCTTTTTTCCACTTCAAAATTAGCATTTACCCTTTGGAGTCAGATAGGAAAGGGAAAACACTAGAGAGTAAAACATATGTCTTTGTCCTTTGTGATTCCCCCACAGCAGAGAAGGGGCACAGTGGTTATAGTACTGTGCTTGGAGTCAGGAAAACCTGTGTTCAAACCTTGCCTCAGACACTTACTAGCTGTGTGATTGTGGGCAAATCACTTAACCTCAGCCTCACTTATTTGTAAAATGGGGGTAATAATAATGGCACCTATCTCACAAGGTTGTTGTGAGGATCAGATAAAATATGTAAAAGCTACTTGCAGATCACAACTGCTATACAAATGTCAGCTATTACTGCTATCTCTATGCCCACTCCTCTCTAGCTTTTTGCTGGGTCCTTTTTATCTTCCTGATGGCTTAGGGTGGCGTCTTCCTTAAGATCCTATCTTCACCTTTTCTGCTGGCTCTGCACTTTTCTTCCTTGGCAATCTCAGTTTATGAGATGGCTTAATGGGTAAGAATCTACACCTCTATCCCCAATATCAACCCTGCATTTTTAACCATCCTCCCCACCCAGGGTTTATATTCTTATATGCTGGGGCCATTCCAAAATCATTTACGTCCAAAAAGAATTTATTGTCATCTCTAAATCATGTCCTCCTTCAACTCCCCTATCTCTGATGGTATCACTAGCATTCACTCAGTCACCTATGTGCAAAACCCTGGTGCTATCTCTGTCTGCATTTTGGGTTGGTGACTGCCAGGGAAATGGTCAGCTGAACTGATTCTCCCTGACATTTCCCACTATTACCATGGCCTCAACACAGACATCTGTAAGCAGTACTGATAATGCTCTTCCTAACGGTAGAAATACCTTTCTCTCATCTCCCCATCAGGTAAGTCAACTGAGAAATCATGCACTTGTACACTTTCATCCAAAATAGACTGACTTATTCTCTTGCTCTTTGGCCCTCTGTTTCTGTCTCTCTCTGTCTGTCTGTTTCTGTCTATCTCTGTCTCTGTCTCTATCTCTCTCTGTCTCTCTCATCTCTCTCCCACAGCCCTTGCCACCCCCAACTACATAACCCACAGAAAATGGAGGGGTTTAGGAAGCAGTGATGCACAGGTTTGTATAGCCCCAGGTTCAGCTTTACCCCCTAGGTAGGTGACAAGTGACTGGTAAATCTGAGATATTTGTTCATTATTCTCTGCAAGGTTGTACTGAGCTTTTCCTCCAAAGTCTGGTTGGGACAGATGGTGCATGTGGGAAAGCAGCGGGAGATCTTTAAAAGCACATTCTATTGGAAAGACCTGAAGCTTCATTTGTGGCAGCGCTTAGGTGGGTCCCAGAGGGGAGAGGGGCCAGAGAGATAAGATGTGATGAAGCTATCATCACATACCCACTCACATCTCATCTAAACAAAAGGAGGGCTAGTACAAAATACAGCAAACAATCTAAAATCATTTCTATTAGGCAGCAGCATATAGCCAGACACACACCAGCTCAATTCACCAAGCATTTGTTTTCTTGTTCATTATTATTTTTTGTTCATTATTATCATCCTCTAAGAGATAGGAAAAGTAGGCATTCAGAAGCACACCTCATCTCTTTCTCTCCCGCCCCTGTCATCTCTGCATCACAGCTGGGTGGCACCCCAAATGAAGCCTCAGGGCTTTCAGATAGAATGTGCATTTGAAGATCTCCTACTCCCTTTCCTACATACATAATCCATCTCAACTGGACTTGGCTCCGGTGGCCTCCCCTCCCAATCAGTAAGAAGCACTCCTCTGGAAAAGGTCTGGATTTCTCCTCTCTCTAATCTATTATCCCCGCAGCTTCCAAAGTGACATCCCTAAAGCACAGGCCTTACAATGTCTCTCACCTGATATGTAAACTCCAGTTTCTCCCTATGACCTTGAAGATCAGATGCAAACTTCAGAATCCCTTGTTTCTTTCAAACCTCAATTCAAACACCATCTCCTACGTGTGGCCAGTTGCTAGTTTGTCTACCCAGCAAAATTACCTTGCATTTATTACCTACATAGTTATATGTGTAACTATTCTTGCCTCCTATCAAATGTGAGCTCTTTTTATTTATATATTTGTATCCCCTGTGCCTAGTCCAGGACCTGGCACAAAGTAGACATTGAATAAATGCTTGTTGATGAATTATTGACCAGAGTCCTGCCTTCGTTATTTGCTTGCCGAGAGACTTTGGACAAGTCACAAATAATAACTACTTGATGGTTTTCCTCACAACAGTCCCATGAGGTAGTGGGTACTAGGATTATTATTTTTGTTTTGCAGATGATTTTGATGCTTTGAAGTGGGCCTTGAGGCTGCAGGTTCCCCACTCCTGCTCTAAAGGGTGAAGCTACCTGCCCAAAGTCACACAGAGGACACAATATCAAATCCCCTGGTTCTCCATTACTTTCCATTTACATCTGAAACTACTCATTATAAATACACCTGCTCTGCCTCCTTTTTGGGGAAGCTCAAATGAGATCATGTAAGTAACATGATGTGTAGTTACAAAGCACTGTATTATTATTATTATTATTATTATTATTATTATTATTATTATTATTACTATTGTTATATTCACTCCAGCCTCCTAATCTACACTAAAACCATTTCCCTTGCCCCAGTGCTCCTGCTCCTGCTCTGGGCTTACCTGAGTCCTAGGCTAAGGCTCAGCTCCAAGTTTCATGCTCCAGCAAGTCTTCCTGGCCAACCAAATACACCTGAAGCTCTCCCTTAGGAATCCCTACAGTATTTACCACTGCTCATTGAGCACTTAGCATATTGACTGCTATTGTTAGTTAAACCTCTGCACCCTCTCAGGAAGACTTCCAGGTCCTGCCGCAGGTCACATCACCCAGATTGTTTAGAGCTAAGCATGTCTGCCTGGCCCCACTTACCTAACCAAGCTTTACTGTTATCTTCCTATTATGCTACAAGACAGGCAGACTCATCCCCTTTTCTACCTGGGAACAGTAATCAAAACAACACTGACATTATTTCTGGAAAGGGCATGCCTGAGGGCATGTCCTTCTGGCTCCACTAACTGCCCTTGTGACTTCCTTAAACAAAATTCCCTTCCTTGGCCACCACTCCCCAATATGTATTGGCTTATCCATTCAAACTCATGTTCCATGAAGGGAAGGACTATCTCTTTTATATTTGTATTCCTAGCACTTAGCACAATGCTTGGCACATATTGTAGTATCTGCTTAACAACTAACCTTCTTTCTTTCTTTCTTTCTTTCTTTCTTTCTTTCTTTTTCTTTCTTTCTTTCTTCTTCTTCCTTCTTTCTTTCTTTCTTCTTTCTTTCTTTCTTTCTTCTTTCTTTTTTCTTTCTCTTCTTTCTTTCTTTCTTTCTCTTTTTTCTTCTTCCTTTCCTTCCTTCCTTCTTCCTCTTCCTTCCTTCCTTCCTTCCTCCTCTCCCTCTCTTCTTCCCTCCCTCTCTCCCTTCCTTCCTTCCTTCCTTCTTTCTTCTTTCTTTCTTTCTTCTTTCTTCTCTTCTTCTCTTCTTCTTTTTCTTCCCTTCCTTCCTTCCTTCCTTCCTTCCTTCCTTCCTTCCTTCCTTCTCCTTCCTCTCTCTCCCTCCCTCTCCCTTCCTCTCTTTTCTTTCTTCTTTTTTCTTTCTTTCTTTTTCTTCCTTCCTTCCTTCCTTCCTTCCTTCCTTCCTTCCTTCCTTCCTTCCTTCCTCTCTTCCTCCCTCCCTCTCTCCCTTCCTCTCTTCTTTCTTTCTTTCTTCTTTCTTTCTTCTTTCTTTCTTTCTTTCTTTTTTTTTCTTCCTTCCTTCTTCCTTCTTCCTTCCTTCCTTCCTTCCTTCCTTCCTTCCTTCCTTCCTCTCTTCCTCCCTCCCTCTCTCCCTCCCTCTCTCCCTTTCTTTCTTTCTTTCTTTCTTTCTTTCTTTCTTCTTTCTTTCTTCTTTCTTTCTTTCTTTCTTTCTTTCTTTCTTTCTTTCTTTCTTTCTCCCTCCCCCCCTCCCTTCCTATCTGCCCAGGATTAGGTACTATGTCTTATTTGTCATTTTATGTCTCTCAGAGCCCCCATGACTGAGTCTTACTAAAAAATGGTATGCAGAAGACATTTGTTGATTTGTAGCACCTAAGCAATAGAGTCAACTTTTTTTTTGGAGATAATTCACAGATAACTTTAGTCTATGGAACTCCCCCCACTAATACTGGCAGGAATCAGTCTTGCTAACCTCAACTTGTCTCCTTCCACACCCACCCTTTCACCACAGCCAAGGTGCCTAATGGGGTAATGTGAGTTGGATAGCTTATTTCTCTTGCCCTGCCCACCTGTGCCAGCACTACTGAGTGATGAGATGGCCCTGAGAAGGAAGCTGAGGGAAAGGAAAGAAGCATGGGGTGTGGAGAATAGTCTAACTGTATGTAATTCACCCTCTGCATAATTGCGAGTTGGCTGTAGGCATTATAGATGTAAACATGATTGCTTTGTGACGCATTGGAAATGTCTATAAAGAAGCTAAGTTAGCAATATACAAGGGCATTATCACAATAAGAGCCAGTTATATAAAGTATAGAGAAGCACATATGGGGCTGCTCTTTCTTCCATTTTCAGTCTGTATTAACTGAAATAATTAAAACTGCATTCACTGTCCAATAACAGCTCCTGAATGAAGGTAATTATATGTTAGTCATAGTAATAAACCTGCCACTGAATTGAGAATATAAGCATTTGGGGATTGAGCTTCTGCCAGTTAGGAAGTGCCAGACTATGACAGTTCTTGCTGGCATGCCTCAACCAGAACAGAGCTGACAGTAAAGTGGTGGAGCCTTCCCCCATGTTGGGCCCTTTCACTAGTCCCCAGTGTTTCTGCTTTCCTCTACTTTACTGGGGAACCAGGCCAGACCACAGGCTGCTGTTGTATTTCCCTGACACCACTGATCCCCAAAGAACACGTGACTTTTAATCCCACCTCCCACAAGACTTATTCTTCTCTCTGCCTATGAAGAAATAGAGGAGGCAGGCTGGTAGAATTAAGTGAAAAGAATAGTGTATTAACTTTTAGGAATCTTCATTTGCTGTGTGATCCTGGGTAAGTCATTTTACTTTTTCTGAGCCTGAATATCCTCATCTATCAAGGTAACTATCAAACAATGGATGAGAAAGTACTTTCAAAAGCACAACCTACACACAGGTAACCAGGGGTATTACTTCTTAACTTTTCATGTACTTATGTTTTTTCTTCCTAACTAGACTTCCCAAGCTCCATCGAAGACTGTATGATCCACTTTGTGATGACATTCCCACCCCTCTTCCCCCTAGTGCTTAGCACAATATTATGTTCAATAGATATTGCTGAATAAATGAATTCCCTGGAATCCTTTCCACCCCCTCCCAAAATCTGACATCCATAGCTAGAAGCTCCACTATTCAGAACTAGGGGCAGAGGCTACCATCTTGAAATACTTTGAGTTCAGAATGGTATTCTTTTTTTTTTTTAAATCTGTTTTTGTTTTGCCTTATAGATCCTAGGATTTATGGCTGGAAGGAATCTTAGAGATCATCTGGGGTGGGGAACCTGTGGCCTCTAGTCTATATGTGGCCTTCTAGGTCCTTGGGTGGGGCCTTTTCACTGACTAAAAGTTTTATAGAACAAATCCCTAAGGGATTTGTTTTGTGAAGTTTGGATTTAGTCAAAGGGCTGCAGTTGAGGACCTAAAGGGCCACATGTGGTCTAGAGTCCACAGGTTCCCCACCCCTGCCCAAACTTCTTATTTGACATGTGAGGAAACTAAGGCCCATTGAAGTGACTTTCATACAGTATAAAAGTAGGCTTCAAACTGAAGTCCTTTAATGACAAATCCTCTTTCCAATGGCTGGTAGCAAACTGACCTCTTCAAAGTGAGTAAGAAACAGAAGATGATTCTTTTACTGAACCCAACACAATCAAAATGGCATGATTGAGGGAAGAAAAAAACAAGAGCAAAGCATTTTTTAAATCAACAAAAGGTAGGAATCTTGCCGTGTTAGCCAGGCAGCTCCCCATCTTGACCAAGCTGTCACTATTCCATAGGTAGTGACTTCATTATTTGCATTTATTGCATTGCCTTTTTAAGAATGCTTTTTGTGATATTTTTCCTATTTCTGCCTGAAATTATATCAGCAACACTATTTATATGTTACTAGATTTTAGGTCTTAAAAGGACCCTAGAGATAATCTATTCCAGGCTCCTTGTTTTAGAGATGAGGAGACTGAGACCTAGAAAAGGAGGTGACTTTCTACAGAGTTAGTAGAAAGGAGTAGTAGGGGACAGGATTAGGACCTATGTCTCCTGACTCATGCATAATCCAAGTTCCTCCCACCTTACCAGGCTATCTCCCTCTGAAGAGATTGTTCCCTCAGCCTTCTCTATTTGCATATGGGAAATATCAGCTAGGAGTCTGTGTCCTGCTTTCTTTGCTGAAGTTGAAGATCCCCTCTCTTCCGCCTGAAGATCTAAATTCACTCCCTTGGTTTCCTTAGGAATGAAAGCACTGACTTCTGAAAGGAGAGACCTCTTAGCCCTGGCTCACAGGAGTTCTTAGTTTCTAACAGCTTGTTCCCATGAAGTGTCTCCTCCATCATCAGGAGATGAAAAACACAAGCAATGCTAAATGTCACCTTATAAACCCAGGTTGTTGCCAAAGATGTAAAGGATTGCTCAAGGTGCCCTTAGATGTTAGCCTGAAACTTCCAGCTTACATCATCACCTACCAAGGAGGAGCCCTGTATGCAACCTACCAAGAGGAATGCTAAGTTCACTGAACACATCCTCTGGTTCCCAGGAAGGCAATGGATGAGGCTGTTTTGTCTCCATCTCACTATAGGCTAATGAGCTCATTTCCAAGGACGGGATTTCTGTGAATCTGGAGTTTTCTGGAAAATATAAGTAAATATGGGTAATTCACAAAACATATCATGCCATGAAAAATCCCTGCGATTTATCTATATCCTGTACACTGGGTGACTGACCAATGGTCACCTGGGCTGCTAAATCACATGGAACCTGGCAAATGATTGCAATTTAGAACCAAAGCACCTTGACTAAGATCCCTTCCCCACCCCCACCCCCAAAACAACAGCATACACATTACAATCTTGGCATATCTTTTCATTCGGTTTGTCAAGGAGAGAGGGCTGTTTAAAGCTCTGTCTGGAGCAGTCTACTGATATCAAATGGAAGAGTCAACACACCCATAGCATAATTCAGTATGATCCCCCTCTTTGCAAGCAATGAAGAGGGTAAAAGACCATTGTCATGTCCCCACATTTAACCGTGGCAAGAAGGGCAATGACATTCTTGCCCCAAACCTGTCAAGCATTATTTCTAAAGATGACCTCTAAATGCTATATAAGATAACGAGCCAATCATGCCAAAGACACGTTCAGGCCTATGCTGACAGAGTAAAGGAGGGTCCAGGCAAAGGAAGCCTGCCCCTCCTTTATTCAAGGCCGTACCACAGGTTTTCTGAGGCAACAGAAAGGCCACTGAGTAGTGGTCTCCACAGAGATTCAAAAGAACAGTTTGGAATGACCTTCAGAGTGCCTGGAATGCCATATTCTGACCTGGCTCTCCTATTCCACCAGGCAGAATAGAAGCAGCGAGTGATGGATTGGGAGGATTTTTACTGCCTGGTTCTATTATGACAGTCTTCCTTCATACACTAAAGCCTTACATTAGTCTTCTGGATGCTAACTGGCTGCTTTACAATGCATCTTTAGCTAGAATCACTACAGATTTTTTTAAGGAATATTCTTTCTCCCCTTTTTGGCTTCTGGTTTTCATTTAATATCTCTTGATGCTTACAACTTTGCATTGCAGGTAAGATGAGGCTCAATCTATTTTAGAACAAACTTTATGACATGGCAGGGTCCTGCACAGTCATACTGCATCCGTCACCTCATAGAACATGCATCACTGATTTTGAGTCAGAGTAATAATAATAAATAGCTAACATTTATATGTGTGAGACACTGTGCTAAGTGTTTTGCCAATATTATCTCATTTGATCCTTAGGATGACCCTGAAAGGTAGGTGCTGTTGTTATCCCCATTTTAATGATGAGGAAATTGAGGCAAATAGAGGTTTAAGTGACTCGCCCAGGGTCCCACAGCTAGTAAGTGTTTTAAGGTTGGATTTGGACTTGGAAGGGGCCTCGGGGGCAATCTAGCCCAACCTTCTCATTTGACAGGTGCAGAAACTGAAACCTAGAAAGCTTAAATGATTTACTAGGTGACAGATCTGGAAGGGTAAGTGATTTATCCCATCACAAAGGTAGGAAGTGACAGTGTCAGAATTCAAATTCAGAGCCTATGACTCCAAGTCACTGCATCACACTGCCTCCCTCTGCTGAATCAAAGAATCACAGAATATCAGAGCTTGTAGGGAAGGACCAGTGAGATCAGCTAATCCACCTACCTCATATTAGAGATGAGGAAACTGAAAGCTAGAAAACGTAAATGATTTATTAGATAGCAGATATGGGACTCAAAGCCAGGTCTGCCTACTCCAAGTGCTCTCCCAACTAGGCCAGAGTGGACAGATGTGGGAGATCACAGAACAAGGCCTGACCCACTCCCAAACCCTGGGGTAGCAACAAGAGGCAGAAAAACAAACCAAAAACTACTTTGCAGTGAGCACTGCTTTCCCTTCCCCATACTCTTCTTCCACCCCTCCTTCCTTAAGTCCCTTGGCAGGTCAGAAATAGCTGCCCCAGGATTGCCCGTGTGGACTTGTGCCATGCAGACACAAGAGAGGCCAGGCTGTTAGCTGATCTGTAGGAACTGTTGCTGTTTTCGCTGATAATCTGAACTAATTTTAGCAGGAGTTCATCTGGGCTCATGTGAACTCAAAGGAGACCATCCTGTCTGATTACGCCTCCCAGAAAACTCATTGCCTCCTATCCTATTTCCTTTACATTTGTCTAAAAGCCTTTAACCGTTTTACTTGGCTTATAGAAGCTTTCTTCTGTTACTAAATTACTCATAAGGCAGTCAATGGCTATTAGCAATATTATTAGCAATGTTAATAGCAGCCTGCAAAACTCCTGTGTTACAGCCCTCTAGTTAGAAAGTCCTTGAGTTAGTGCAGCAGCACATGAGAAAAAGTTAGTAGTTACCCTCAGTCAACATTTCTTGGCAAGCCTGGCTTTGGTTGCTGGTCTCTGTGTGGGAGCTGGGCTTCTCCTCTGGTTTGCTGCTGTCCTGTGTCCCATTTTTAGGGGATCCCATCAGCTTATAATCATCTAGGAAAAGCCCAGACTGTGTTCCCCCTTCCTCTGCTGGCTCTTGGGAAGACATTTTCTGTGATGTGGGGACTGGGTTAACATCTGAGTTTTCAGCTCCCTTTCCTTCCTTCTTATAGCAATTTGGATCTTTAGGAAAGCTGTCTTCCTCAGGCTCAGCTGGTTTCTTCATAGTGTCTAGATTTATGCCCGTCTGCCCTTCAAGCCCTATTTCATCAGAATGGCTCCTGGAGGCAGCACTTTCTCTGTCCGACTCGAATCTGATTTCAGCAGCTCCGCCAGCCGCAGATTCACCTGCCTCCTCGGCTAATTCCCCGTGATCAGTGTTCAGGTCTAAAGGGGTCATCCCACAGGGAAATATTTCAGGGCAGGTTTTGTCCTTCTGCCCAACTGGCACAATCTCCTCCAGTTCTGTGATGTCTGGCTCCATGATAAAGTCCTCCTCTTCCCCCACCTCGTCCACTGTAACGAGTTCTTCCATGTTGGTGGGGTACCAGCTCTCCCCCTCCACTTCACTTCCGCTTTCCCAATCTTGTTCCTGTATAAAAAGGTTGAATGTTGATCAGAAGATGGCTTACTAATTGACCTTAGCAGTAGAGGCAGGCCAAAGTGCTCTAACCATGCCACCAGAGAAGGATCTAAGCACAGCGACCGAGTGTTCTTCTAATTTGAACTGGAAAGAATTACTTGGTAATTCAGTAGCACTAAACCTCTCAAGCCCCACACGGCAGGCCATGCATTGCTTAAAGAGTGTTGTGTTTCCCTTGGTGTCTTTAGAAGTCACTTGACTATACTCTGAACCCCTAAATGCCACCAAATTGGAAAAAGCCAGAAACACTTCAACTATTAGATTTAAAGTAACACATTGTAACCACCTATTAAAATATAAACAAATTTTTTAAAAGCCTTCAACTTGTCTGAGTTATTTTCTTGTGATAGTGGGCATCTTTTTGATAGGCATTCGGGCACAAATAGCAAAGATCCTACAAATCCCTCCTGCCTTTGTGGGCAAAAACGTACATGCATATTTCTCACTTTGGACACCTACCGAAACCACTTTTCTTAGTGTGCCAGGATAGCCCAAAGAGTGGGAAAGCAGACTCAGGAGATCAGTTTTCTCCTGCCACAGACACTGATATCTTCCTCATCTGACATCAACTTATGACTGGAAAGTTTTGAAACTGGACAGTTTCCAAGGACATTTCTTTGTGCCTCAGAAGCAGTAGACTGGGTATGTGGGGGGGGGAACTGTAACTGGATTTTTCACTCTAATTATATAAAATAATCCACAGCATTACAAATGATGTCTGGGGATTTGTGGGGTTATTATCTAGGTTCTCTGTGGCCTATGGGTCCTGTTACTTGAAAGTCTATTTTGGCAAGATGGCTTCTTAAGCCTTATGGTATTTTTTTAGCACTCATTTTCTCAACAACTATGACCAAGTGTCAGGAGTGTGAAGCAAAGATTTCAGGACAAAGCTATCTCCCAAAGTCTAGGTTGAATATGTGCACATGTGTGCACACGTGTGTACATGTGGGTTCGAAGGGAAGTAAGCTATGAATAGATTTCATTCAGAGAAATAGATGGGATATCTGAGGATGGCTACTTAGCCTGGGTGCCACACTTCCAAATGGGGAAAACACCTTCACAAGAGCCTATATGGATTTGGTATAGATATGGGTAAACTAGTTGTGTCTCAGATGAGTGTTACCTTCTCTTCCCTTTCATTTGCGGCATCAGAATCTTCTATTTTCATAAATTCATCACTTTCCTCCAAAGCTTCCTGTTCTTCTTTCCCAAGCTTAGAGAAACAAAGATAAAACAAAATAAACAATGTTAACAATGGGCACCGGAGGGACAAAGGGGCAGTGTGAATATGAACTGAAAAACATCTTCAGGTTAAGTCTTTAATAATAAAAGGTATCCTTTTTCATTTAAAAACATTATTATGAGAAGGGGGAACAGAGGTTTCATGGGAGCACCAAAGGAATCTGTGGCACAAACATATAAAAGGTTAAGAACCTTCCCTTGAGGCCACGTGTGGCCTTCTAGGTCCTTGGGTGTAGCCTTTTGACTGAGTCCAAGTTTTACAGAATAAATCCTTTTATTAAGGGGGTTTGTTCGGTGAAGTTTGGATTCAGTCAAAGGGCCACACTTGAGGACCTAGAGGGCCACATGTGGTCTCGAGGCTGCAGGCTCCCCACCCCCACTTAGCCTATATTAAGGTATCCTTAGTAGGTTCAGGGTTGTTTAGTGAATTAGAATTATACAGGTGACCTGATAGTTCTTGATTCTAAGAACTATCTCTTGGCATAGTCAGGGTGACAAAGTGGTAGCCACCCAACCTACACCCCATGGGCCAAACATCCTCTTTCCAATAACTATGCCCAGGATAATTACTCTGTACCACTCATACCCTCTCCCCTCTTTCTTCTCTCACTGTTACCTCTCTCTGGCCCATCTAATTAAAAATATAAGCACAGAGAAGAGGTCAGCCTGAATCCCCAAAAAACAAAGTCTCCAAAATAGCTTCCCAAGATCCCAAGGGCACCTTCCCAGGCCTAAACTTTGGCTAACAAATTATTTTTTCAACTCCTTAAGGGGTAACACTTCTCCAGGAACTCTTAGGTGAGGATGGGTTCAGAATAAAAGATTCTGGAGATCATTTTAAGTTCCCAGAACTGCTCCATCTCGGCATACAAATTAGGCTTGGGAAAAATAATGGGAATCTGGTGTAGAAGTAGTCATGACCTTTTTTTTTTTAAGGCAATTGGGATTAAGTGACTTGCCCAGGGTCACACAGCTAATAAGTGTCAAGTGTTTGGTCTGAGGCCAGAATCTAGGAGAACATATTTTTTAAAAATTCAGAGACATGAACACTAAACCAATGATGAGGATGGGATCTGGACCCCAAAAGGAACCCCCTCCCCCTTTTCCACGTGGCCAAATCTCTGGCATTTGCCTGAGGTCGTATTCCTATCAACTGGCCTTTGGTTATCTCCTCTGGGCCCAATCTCCCAGTTCTGTTACCTTTAACCTAACCTAGCCCTCCATTGTCTTACCTCCCAGTGGCCCCTGGGTACTTCTCAGGGTTAATCTTATCTTGCCTCCAATTCTCCCTTGGCCAGGTGGTCCAGGTCTCTGGCATTCTATTACCTCATAGTCCCTCCCCCCAGACTACTTGGCCACTCCTAGATCTCTCACACAGTCTTTCCGTATATAAGGTCCATCTTGTCTCCACTAAGGTGCTCAGATTCTTAAAATCCAGCCACTGTTCAGATTCTTAAGATCTGACCCGATTGCATTAGCAATGCAAATGCTTAGATTCCTTAAGAGTTTGCCCAATATGAAGGATGTTCTGATACACCTTGTCTTTGGCTGAAAGGCAGCTTGGGTCAAACTCATTTGGACACGACCCGTGTGTTGTGATTTTGAGGTCCCAGCACCCCTAGACCTCAACACCAGTACCTGACTGATATCCTCCCCCCTCCATGCCTCTAAGTACAACTTGTATACTGAGGGATAGTTTTTGCCAAGGTCTTTGCTTCACATTCCTGACACTTGATTTTAAACTAAAGATTATAGGGGAAGAATCAGCGGAAGAGTCTGATAATTACCAGAAGACAACTACCAGGAGGAACGGTGGTGATGACCTTACATATCTGTATAGAAATGTACAAAGTTTGGATAATAAAGTGAGTCAGATCTCAGTTCAAGAAAGTAAAATTTCCCCCACAGATACATATCAATATAAGAACATACCTTATTCAAAATGAAAAACTAGATAAAAAGAGTAGTGGAATAGGATTGTCTATCCAGAAGATTTACTCATATGAAGAAGTCCATGAATCAAAGGGGGAAAGCATAGTGGACAGCATTTGGATAAAGATCAATTAGGAGACATAGACGCAATATTACAATGACACAATTTTCCAGATTGTAAGGACAAAAAGAAAAAAAATGAGTTCTAGAAACAGCTAATAGAACTGGCAATCAGGGAACTTCAACAATCTACTGGTATGCTCTTTTGAAAAAATCAGAATTAATAAATTAAATTCTTGACTTGCTTTGATGATAATTTCTTTCATTCTTTAAAAGATGGAGGAAGCAATGAGGTGAATTGCTATTCTGAATTTGATAGTGACAAATATCAAGGAACTAGTGGATATAAAAATAATGGGAGTCTGGTGTAGAAGTAGTCATGACCTTTTAAAGCTCATGATATGGAAATATGGGAAGTCTTGGTAGCCTGATGCTTACCCTAGAATCGAGGAGAATAGATTTTTTTTTTAATTCAGAGACATGAGAGATAGGATCCCATGAGCCACAGGGGACATTGACTCAAGAATGATGGAATGCTCTTAAAAATGAAATTCCAAGGACAAATACAAATGATTCCAATGAGGAAAAGGAGACTGTTACTCAATGAGACTGCAAAGCTGACCATTTTGGATTTAAATAGACACATATAGATGATTAAAGCAAGGTCAAGTAACTAAGGATAAATACAAATGTGTGGTATAAATTAAATCCAGAATGAGGAGAAGCTTGTGATAGATGCTAAGCACAACAAAACAGGCTAGTTATGTTTTAGCTAGGTTGCAACTAAGATTAAAGACAATAGTTGTTGCTCTTACATCTATGATACTATGAACCTATGATTTTATGGTAACTAGTACCTATATTTGCCAAAGGACTTGATTAGAAGTGTTTTGAGACTACAGAAATTTCCCTTTTAGTGTTTCAAGTCTTTTTCAAGGACAGAGACTGAAACATTTTGGAAAGAACAAGGATGGCAAACGGCACCCATCTGGAGGTGGAACATACAACTATTCTCTTGCTGGGATAATAGTCTCATCTCTGTTTATTACTATCCTGGATAAGATATTCTGCATTTTAATAATAATAATATCTAGCATTTATATAGAATTTTTTGTTTTACAAAGCACTTTACAAGTAGTTTAACCTCACAGTAACCCTGGGAGGTAAGGGCTACTATTATCCTTTTTTCTAGATGAGAAAACTGAGGCAGAGGGTGAGGTGAATCTCTGGATAAGAGCATGGACAATAGAAATTATTAAATTACTGAGAAACCTCTAAGCTTAAATTTGAGTATGTATAGCTCAGAGCCTTATTTCTAGATGGCAAAATACTTTTGGAAAGGTCCATCAGGGCAGTTGTTTATTTGTTTGTTTGTTTATTTGTTTTGGTGAGGCAATTGGGGTTAAGTGACTTGCCCAGAGTCACACAGAATCTGGGAAGTTTTTGATTTTTTGCACCAAGGTGTGAACCTTGAGACTAACTGACCAATTATGCTTTGGGAATGTATCAACAACAAGGCAGGCATGAGACTAGGATACATGTTGGGTATGAATGACCTAAGAACTTTCCAGTTGTTGGAAGTCTGGGTGGAGCCTGAAGATAAAGGCGTGGATGTTTTTCTTGGCTCACCTATTTTCTTTGCATCCAGCTCAGTCTTTTGAAAATAATGTCCAGTTTTCCTCGTTGAAATAATTTGGGATGTGATAGCACATAAGCAATGAAATACAGGAAAGATCAATTATGTGAACCCATAAAAATCTATTGTTTGTAACCCTATTATAAGATCTAATATACTTTATAATGGGGTTACATAATTGATATATATGTACATATATATATATATATACACATACATATATAAAATTTAGTATGCAACTACATATGACTCTCATGCTTGCTGAAATTTGCATGAAGCTTTATTATGTGATCCACGGATGTTATATAATGCTTGATCTGTCTCTACAAATTTTCCATATATACTCAGTATTGTTTGCAGGGACTACAAATTTTTTTAGCTTGGGAAGAATATGATGGGGCTATCGTTGCGGCAGAATTGACAGTAGTATCCTGCTTTTCCTCTTCTCCTTCAGATGTTTCTAGTGATTTTCTGAGGTTCATCTGAGCCTCAGGGTAATTCATGGCCCAGCACAAATAACCAGAGGAATGATAAGTAGTTAGGAAAGGCAAATTGAAAAGGGGTCAAAAGTTTTTCAGAAAGACTCAATAGGAGCTGCTGACCACACTAGGGATACACCTTAAGACATAGCATGCCAGTAGAAAGAGCACTTTAATTTGGTATTAGAAGGCCTCAGTTTGAAATCTACCTCCATTTACCAGTGGCGTGACCTCAGAAAAGTTAGTTAACTTCCTGGACCTCCTCTGTTTTCTCATCTGTACGATAAGACAGACCAGATGACCTCCTTCTCTGAGAGCATGATCTTGTAATCCCTGCTGACTCTGTGGCAACGAAGGCATATATGGAATTCAGATACCCAACTCTACTAGGAAGGAAAGGTGGGGGACCTTTGGTTGAGAAGGTTAATCAGCCAGTGCTTAGAGGTATGGCCAGATGCCTAAAGGGCCCTTTTGTGGCAAGGGGTGGAGCTGTGAGCCTAATGAAAAACAAGCTGCTAAGCAGGACATATTGGCCTTGGCCATCTTTCTGTCAGAGCTATAATACTTCCCTGAAGAAAGAAAATCAATGATAAATGGAAGGAGGGAGGGGCAGGGAAGAGGTAGAGGCACAGGAAAAAAAATTAAATTGTAGAGAAAATAAGAGACCAGAAAATGCTGACCTGTTCTCTCTCCTATGAATGACCATATTGGGATAGAATGGGGATTTTTCTCACAGCACTTGATATCAAATCTCTGCTCAGTTCTGAAGCCCAGGTAGTTTTCAGTTATTATCCACAAAAGATAGATTCAGCTCTGCCTAATTCTAGTTTAGGGAAGTAGTTCCCAAGACTCTTCAGCCCTCTCTTGGCAAATGGACATATGCATAGGCAGAATGAACAAAGGCCAGAATTGTCCCTCAGAAAAAGTTATGGGAGGGATAGGTGAAGGTCAGGTTTAGAAACACAGTTACTCCTTCCCTAGACATAGGACATGGATCAGTGAGGAAATATGAAGAAAGCTGACTAAAAAGTATTTTTATTAACTAGCCCTTGCTGAGCACCCATTACAGACAGGGCCCCAGCCTGGGCATGATAAATGCAAAGAGGTCCAGGGCCCAGGGCAAATCAGTACTGAATACTGCTCCTCAACTTTTGTATGGAGGAGAAATCAGATTCTGTACAATCTTGAAGGAGACAGTCACCAAGAAGCAGAATATAGCATGTCTGTAGGATTGGAGGAGTATCAGAAGAGCGGGACATTCCCATTGACTTTGGAGAGTGACTATAGCCATGTGAGTGAGAATCAATTCTTTTTCGGTACCAGTTGGTAGAAGCCACCTTCCTGCCTGGCTGCTAGCTTGTGTGCTGAGGTCTCCTCAAAATGAGAGGTCTGGGGGATCATCCTGATTTTCTGTCCCCTAGAGATGCTTCTCTTGGTGGTATACCTGTGTGCAAAGCCTCAATGGTTACCAGGCCCATGGATCTATGATCTTATGGCATCTAGTGTGGGGTTAAGGTGTGGAAAATGGGGAAATATACAATGCAGAGGGGAAAAAAAACCAATCATCTTCCTTATATAAAAACTCCTCTGTACCCACCCCTATGCCTAGACATACTGCGCAGGTTTTAGGCATCAGGAGGGGTCAGTGGTTAGTCTATAAAGTTTGGAGCTTCAAGACTTCCCCTTGACTCACTGTGTGAACTGGAGCTGTGCTACCTCAGCCCTTTGAGAATGCTGGATGAAAGGGGCCATGTGTAATTGCCACGTCTTTTGAAAAGAGAAGTAAAACAGAGCAGGCAATTAACCGTGTCTAGGAAAACACACCAAGGCCACAGGGGTGGACAATAATAATTTTGTGGGAGTTGGCTGCTTCTTTCCTTTACCTCCTTTCTCTGAAGAACTAGGATTGGTCAACACTTTTGGTGGGAGGGAGGGCTGTGTGGATGGAAGATCTAATCTCACTTGGCAGAATGTGTGGGTACACACACACATACACACACCTCATTGTAACTCCACCCTGTACAAACATGGCAGCAGAAAAACTCTACATCAAATGATTCTGAGGTCCTACCAAAAACTCTTCTCACCAGATCAAAACAAGTTCTTCTGTCCCACCTCCTCTGCAATGGAGATGGGAACATGTATTACCTCAATCTCTGCTGCTTTGTTTTCTTCTGTGTCTGTTTCCCCCTCTTGACTTCTGTCTGGTTTTGTGGTTTTGTTTTTCTCACTCTGTTTGGCCTTGACATTCTCTGAAGTCCTATTGTCCTTGGGCTCAAAAATGTCTTCCTTCCCTGAGTCCTCACAGTGGGTGTGTCTTTCTCTTAATCTAGTCTCTTCTTTTTTTTTGGACTTTGCAGGACTGTCCTGTTGCTGCTTGAGATATCTGTCAGGTTTAAGCTTGGGATCTTTTCGGTAATAGCCATCCTCTCGGCCTTTGTAACCAGATGAAGAGTGGAGTATGCTAGGGGAAGTGGGACGGATATATTTGTCTCTGTGTCCCCTCATTACTTCAATCCGGCTGTCCAAGTCAATTTTGTCCAGTTGCCGTGGGTAATGTTTCCGATCATGAACCCAAGTGTCTGTCCTGTCCCTCTTGTCATCTCCGTTTTCCCTCCAGTGAGTCAGATCCCTCTCTTCCTCTCTCCTGGCATAGGGGGACTGATCCCAGGATTCCCTACCATTGCCCCAGTCTGCCCGGGAAGGACATAGAGGGCTGTGGGAAGAGCTGCAGGAGGTGAAGCTGGTAGTGTGAGATCTCGGGGAGAGTGAGCGGCTCACTGGACTTCGAGACCTGGGTCTCTCAGGGCCATATCTGTGAAGGAGAACAGGGAAGAAGTGTATGTATAGAAATATACGCACTTATCAAAATGCATATTCACACATAGATATGCTCATGCAAACTCACAATCATAAACAGTAAAACATACATGGATATATTTTATAAATATATACATATTATTAAACATAGAATATACATATTATCAAATATATCAAATATATGCACTCATGCAGTCAAACACACTGATTCATATGTATGTGTATACTAGGTATATAGCCCTTGGCAGTTCATTCAACCTCTCTGGGTCTCACTTTTCTCAACTGTAAAATGAAGCAATTGGAATTAATTGCCTGTGTAGTCTCCTCCAGCTCTAAATCTATGAATATATGGAATATATGTGTTTGTGTATATGTATGTATATACACATGCACATATATATGCACACACATGTGTCTATATATACACACATGCATGTATATAGGAATAGGTATATATGTGTGTACACATATAATTCATATATTTCATTTATCATTTATTTATTAGCCACATATATCTATTTATATAATTATATATTTTTATACTGCTTGTATGTGTGTATATATGTGTGTAAATACATATATACACACATATATACATATATGTATACATACATACAGAGAGAGAGAGGGAGAGGCAATCAACTGCAACAGCTTCATTTTTACAGATGAGAAAAGTAAGGCCCAGAGAGGTTACATGAATTGCCAAGGTCCACAGAGCTAATAAGTGAAGGAGGTGGGATATAAACCTGGGTTCCTCTGACTGAGAGTCCAGAACTTTCCACTGTTGGGATCTGGGCCCCAGAAAGGAAAAACTCTGGACTTTCCCACTTTCCCAATGCCAATTCTCTGGCATTCACCTGAGGCTATAATCCCATCAACTGGACTTTCATTGTGGCTACACCTAATCTCCCCTACCTCCCTATGGCCCCAGTCATTTCCCACCCTTAATCCTAGCTAGGCTCCATTCTCCATTGGCCATGAGGTCCAGGTCCCAGGAGTTCTGTTCACCCCAGCATACTGGCCACTCCTAGGTCCCTCCTACAGTCTTTCTGTATATGAGGTCCACCTTGTCTCCATTAAGATGCTTAGATTCTTCTAATCTAGCCACAGCTCTGATTCTTATAATTTAGCCACTGCTTAGATTCTTAAAATCTAGCCACTGGTCAGATTCTTATAGTCTAGCCAATACCTTACTAATGTTCAGACTCCTTAAGAATCTCCCCAATATGATGTTCTAATAAACCTTGTCTTTGGCTGAAAAAATGCTGGGGCTGAATTCTTTTGGGCAGGACCCATATTTTGGGGTCCCAGCACCCCTGAACCCCTCAACTGCATCATTTTGGTGGCCTGTACGGGGAAACTGCTTAACCCCACGTTCTTCTCCAGCCAAGACTGGAAGGTATGTAAGCCTTCTCCCTCCCCTCCTTTTTGTTCTGCAGTTGGGGTCGCTCTCCAAGTACCACGGCTTGGAGGTGCTTTTCTGGCAGACAGTTACGAGGCTGTCTCACACTTGGCCTGATGCTCTCAAGCTCTCGGTCCACTGGGTTGGTTGAAGGCCATGGACCTGGGTACACCTTCCACAGCGTAGAGGACAAGGATGGTTGCCCTCTCTGGAACTGTATGCTCTGTTAATTCCCTCAGCGCTAGGGAATTGGGGAAAACTGCAGTTGCTTTTTGGTTCCCTGAGGCTTACTTACTTCCTTCCCTCTGCACCTCTGAATCCTCCCTCATGGAGGTTACAGGGAAAGTTGGAACAGCTAAAAATATCCTGGCAGATTCTGAAGGTTTTGTGCAGACTCCTTAGGAGTCTACCCAATATGATGGATGTTCTAATAAACCTTGTCTTTGACTGGAAGAAGGCTTGGGTCGAATTCTTTTGGAAAGGACCCACGTGTTGTGATTTTGGGGTCCCAGGACCCTGAGCCCCTAAACCGCATCCCACACAAGTGCACAGGGATATACATTTATTGATATACACAAATGCATATATACATATATATGTATATATATGTATAATTATGCACAGAAACAGAAAAGCACTCATATAAACATGTATAAACATAGTCCTACACAAATATTTGATGATTAAATAAGATATATACTTGACATATTAATATCGCAGCACTTTGATAACGTTATCCATTTCAGGTCGTGTCTAGAAGAAGCAGACCCACCTTTTCTTCTTCTTCTTCTTTTTTTGTGAGGCAATCAGGGTTAAAGGACTTACCCTGGGTCACACAGCTAGTAAGTGTCAAGTGTCTGAGGCTGGATTTGAACTCAGGTCCTCCTGACTCCAAGGCTGGAGCTTGATCCACCACACCACCTAGCTGCCCCACACCTGCCTTTTCTAACCATAGAGTTGCTTATGGGTCACAAAGACCATTGTTAATAGCCATCAGATCTCATATGTACTGCTAGGGTCACCTGACTGAACCAATAGAAAACCTAAGAAAACCTAGGTAATTTCTAGGGAAATTAGGGTACCATCCATGTTACTCTGAACATGGCAAAAAAAATCGCATTACATCAGGTCTCTCACTGCTGTTGCTGACGCTTTAGATATGATAGCATGCTTGTATTTGTGGTAAGTTTTAATCCTGGCTTGACATAGTGGCTTAAAGCAAACAGTTAGAAAGATTAAATCTGTTGGGGGGAAAATAATTCGTTCCAAAGCCCAGAATGGATGTTTCGTGGATGACTGTCTCTCTTGTATTATCTACATTCCTGTCCATTTGCATAAATGATTGAGAATAGACAGGAGGTAGAAGCCACCAAAACAAAAAAGCTTCTGAAGCTTCCAATGAAAGTAGACATGCTCCAAAGAGTCAGGTTAACAAGAGGCTCCTTCCTACCATTTCTTCCCACCAATACTTTTGCATTCAAGAAGGACCCCAACTTTCATGTTTTCCAGAGGCTAAATTTATGCAAAGAGTAGACTTGGGCTTGTGACAATCCTTTCATCAGACAGCTAGAAAGTTAACTCTTGAGGTGGGTGTGATATAGAAACACGCTGCCATTGAGAAATCTAAGTGGTGAAATTGATGCTGGAATGCATTTATCCCTGGGTGATGGGAAATTGGTTGTTTTGCTTTATGGGGTGTATCCTACTCTAATCATCCGTCACCTGGGTGGCTGTGGGATAACACAAGGCTTGGTTCTAAAGTCTTCATGATTGGCCAGAGGTAGGGCATGGAATTAAAAGCTTGTCAGTAAGGGAAAAAGTTAGGGAGAAGAAAACTTGCTTGTGTTGTTTTCTGCAGTGGATTCCTACAAGAGTCCATGGGAAGAGGCCCTTAAATAAGCTTCAGGGTCTTAGTTAGATGATTGAATGACATAAGGCCAGGGCCTGAACCCAACCCCTGAAGGGATTTGGAGAGTCATCTATTAGAATTAGGTTATTTTCAATGAAATGTAGAACTGGCCAGTAGAGGAGTGAATTACTCAGATAACATTCCTACATTAATAGTCCTTGGACTTATTTGTATTATTTATGGATTAACTTTTCCCTTGAAAATAAATTGTACAATCTGCATTTGGACATAAGCTAGTACGGATGTTGGAGCTGTTGGCACACGAACTAAGCAGTTTTGAGGTATGGGGTAAGTGACGGAGGGTAGGGCATCAAATTCCAAATTGGATAGTACCTTTGACTAGGCAGGCCATGAGGGCAGATGAGAGGGACAATCTGCCCAGGCCCCAGAGCAGTATTTATAAAACTTTGGCTGATTAGCCATGAAAAAAATGCCTTAGGGATCCTTTCCATGGAGCAGTTTTCTCATTTGGGACGGGTGAGAGCATAAAAACAAGAAATCAACTTGATTTATGGTCAGGGCTTTCATTGCCTGGCTCAACTTCCCTTATTATGTAAAATGGGTGAATTTTTTAGACTGCTCAGAATTTGCTTTACACATTTGGCTCAACTCTGTTCCACAAGTCCCGTGGCCAGATATGCCTCACCTGTCTGTTTCCCGGAACAAGTCCCGCTCCCTCTGAGAGTGGATGTCCTGGATGATGGCTGCAACATTCTTTCCAGGTTTCTAGGCAAAAAAAAATTTTAAAAATCAACTTTAAATCAGTCTTGACAATACTAGACTATAGGAGGAGGTCATTCTCTTTATTATCACTATAAGAAGATACTCTCTACTCAAGAAGGAGAATGAAATGAAACAAAAGCAATAAGGAATGCATGCTACTGATAAATGAACACATTAGTGCTAAGGTTAACATTATCTACCAAGATGGAAAATGAAGTAACACTAATGCCACTATTGTGCTTATTGCACCCTCAAAGAGATTAAAGCTAAAAGGAAAAGACCCTCATGCACAAAAGTATTTATAGCAGCACTTTTTTGTTGTAGCAATGAACCAGAAGATAAGGAGGTACCCATCAGTTAAGGAGCAGCTAAACAAATTATGTCATTTGAACATAATGGAATAATACTGTTCTATAACAAATTACAAGAGAGATGGGTTCCAAGAAACATGAGAAGACTTGTATGAACTGATACAGAGGGAAACAAGCAGAATCAGGAGAATAATTCATACACTGACCACAATCCTGTAAAGAAAAACACTTTCAAAGATTTAAGAAATCAATTGCATTGGTTAATTGCAATGACCAACCATGATTCTGAGGACTGACAGAGAGGTGATAGACTCAAGGTGCAGATGAGACATATATTTTCAGACATGTCTGTTTTGCTGATTTGGCTTACTATCTGTCACAAGAGAGTTTGTTTGTTTATATTGGGGAGGAGAAATATGAGGGGAAGAATATTGTAGGGATGCCCCCCAAAAAGAATAAGAAAACAAAAGAGGGTTATTGAAGCATTAAATAGATTTCTGTTAATTAAGTAGTAAAATTTAATTTTAAAAAGCATATAACAATAGGAACTTCAGAGGGAGACACGGATAAGCAAGAGTGCTTTGAAACCAGCAAACTGAATTCATTATGTTTTAAAAGGCAACCTGTGTTTAACAGGACCTTGTGATTTCATATACAAGCCTCTTTTTCTCTTTATTGTATGTAGCAATTTTCATGTTAATGGAAATTTGTCAAGTTCAAGAAAATGAAATATAAAACTTATTTTTAAAAATGAAATTAAGGGAGAATGTTAGGATTTACTATCTAGAAATATAATGTTTATATTATCCCCCTGTGAGTTACAGAATGTTAGATATAGTAGAGACTTCAGAGACCATTTAATTTAATCATTTATGTTATAGATGACGAAAATGGAACTCAGAGAGAAGTGACTTGCTTAAGATTACACAGTTAGTTAGACTGGACCTAGAATTCAGATTTCTTGATACTCAAATTCTGGCTTTTTTCACTAATAGTCAAAAGGCATAAAATCAATGTTCATTAAAAAAAAAATCTCTAAAAAGCCATGGTCTTCTGAAAGAGAGGTGATGAGATAATGACCTATGCTAGGCAGCTAAGCTCTTCTTAGAGAGAGCCCCTGTGGCTACTCTGGCTGTTATCCTCATGTAACTTTTCTTCCCTCCACTTTCCTCCACAACTTGTCTCCCCCTTTCCTTCTCTCCTGCATCCCTCCCCCTGGCTCTGTCTTTATCGAATTCAGCTCTCTCAGTTAATGGATGAGGAAGGGAAGGGTTAGAAGGAAGGGAATAAGGCTTCATGTAGTGCCTCCTACGTGCTATGCACTGTGCTAAGCACTTTTTACAAACATCTCATCTGATCCCTTCAACAACACTGTGAGGAAGGTGCTATTATTATCCACATTTCACAGTTCAGGAAACTGAGGCAAACAGTTTAAGTGACTTGCCAAGGTTACACAGCTGGTTAGACTGAGACTAGAACTCAGGTCTCTTGATGTTCAAGGCCTTGATTTTTCCACTAATAGCTAAAAGGCAAAAAAAAGAAAAAGTTTAAAAAAGTTTCCAAAGTAGGAAATCAATTTGACACAGACAGGACTTTTGCTGCTTCCCAGAGTCAGTTCCATCTTGCTACCATAAGTCCTCTCTACTATCCCAGGGGAGACGTTGGGAGCTGGAAGCTGGGTCAGTACCCAAAGACAACAGAGGAGAAGGAGGAAGGAAGAAGGTGAAGAGAAAGGCTGAAGTGGTCAAGAAGGGGGAATGAGTTAGGATTGCCTCTGGGCTTCAGTCATATTAGGGACCAGTACCATCTCTCTTTTAGCTTACACTCAACTTCATTTTGCTTTTCAGAGCAGGTACTTAATAAATGCTTATTCCCTTCCCTTTCTTCACTGAGAAAGTCTCTAAGTGTGTGGCTGGCCTCCCTTACAGAGGGAAGTCTTTAATCTTTCCCCACTGTTTACAGCATCCTCTAGTGGCTGCCTGAAAATCTCAAGCAATGAAGGCCCAGCAATTACCCAGAGAAAGATTCCCTAAATCCCCAGGGTCAGAGAAGTATGTTTGGTGATACCCTCCTAGGCTAGAAGATGTCTTTCTTGGATTAAAAAAAAATTCTTTTTTCCTGCTCTCAAATACAGGACACTTCTCAACCATCGAGCTCAAAAGCCATGATGATGTTGGGGTGAGATTGAGTGAAGAAAAAAAAAACAGACTTGATAGCTACTTTCCTGGGTTAATGAAGGCTGAATAAGATAAAATGCCCAATTAATTTCTTCCCCCTTCCTGGGGGTGAGCAGTCAGTAGAAATGTTTTAATTAATTTTTTTTAAAGCAGGATAGTATATAGTAGAAAAAAACCTGAAGTTGAAAGCAGGAAACCTGATCCCAGATGTGCTCTTCCCAATCATGAGACCCTGTACAGATTACTGAAATTTTCCAAGCCTCAGTTTCCTCATCTGTAAAAGAAGATAATAATACTTTCTCTGCCTACCTTTTGGGGTCATGATGGGTATCTGAAGAGATGATGAAGGTAAAAGTGCTTTGAAGGCTAAATAAATGATAGGGCATGCCTGTAATCCCTCTTAATGGGGAGGCTGGGGCTGGTGGGTTATTTGAACTCAGTAGTTCTGAGTTGCAATAGGTCTAAAGCCCATCATGTGTTTGCACTAAGTCTGGCACAATTACGGTGAGCTTCTGGGAGCTGAGGGTTACTAGGCTGCCTAAAAGGTGCAAGCAAGACGAGGTCAGAAACAGAGCAGGCCAAAACTTCCCTGCCAATCAGCTCTGGGATCCAGCAAGAATGCTTCCAGACATCCAGCCTGGGCAACTTATGGAAACCCAGCCTCAATTAAAAAAAACCCAACCAACTAAATAAATGTCAGGTGGTAGGGATAAAAGAAATGAGCGGGATAAACGATTATGCTACAGACCACCTGGATCACAGGAACAACTAGATAAGGAGTTCAGGAAACTCACAACAAATGTCCTATGGCAGGGGTGGGGAACTGGCCTCCAGGCCACATGTGGCCCTCTAGGTCTTTGAGTATGGTCCTTTGACTGAATCCAATTTGTTCCGTAAAATTTAGAGTCAGTCAAAAGACTACACTTGAGGACCTGTAGGGCCACGTGTGGCCTGGAGGCTGTAGGTTCCCCAACTTGTCCTAAGGCACGATAGAGAAAAAATGGGGGACTGAAACTATCTGTACATCTATTGGGATTAACTTTCCGCCAAAAGCTGAGCAGCTGATAATTTTTAATTTGCCTTATCAATTTTATCCTTTAAAAAAAAAAGAAGAAGAAGAAGAAGAAGAAAATGACCAGGGAAATTGTTACTCTTGACTTGACAGAAGAGAATAACTTTGTTGAAGTATAAATAATGAAATCTTTAGGGACAAGTGCCCACTTCCTCTTAGAATTTGTGATAGACAAAGGGAAAGCCAAATATAGGTATGTTAGAATTTGGGAAAATGGAGTTCAGAGTTCAGAGAAAGAATAGATAGAATGCAATAGCTTAAAATAGGGGGCAACTAGGTGGCACAGTGGCCAGAGCACTGGGCCTGAAGTCAGGAAAACTCATCTTCTTGAGCTCAAATCTGGCTTCAAACACTTAGTAGGTGTGTGACTCTGGGCAAGTCACTTAACTCCGTTTTCCTCAGTTTCCCCATTTGTAAAATGAGCTGGAGAAGGAAATGGCAAACCACTCCAGTATCTTTGCCAAGAAAACTCCAGATGGGAGTCACAAAGAGTCTGACATAAGTGAAAATGACTGAACAGCAGCAATGCTTAAAATACAAGGCAAGTCAACTCAAGAGAGATTGCTACTTAGTAAGAAATTCTGAAGAAAAGTGAGAGAAAAGATACTGATGTGGCTTTTTGGGGAGCTCATCAATAGGCAGAAAGTTGAGGATAAATCCAAATGAGGAGTATGGTCCTCTGAGAGATCCTTAAAGTTCAGAATGAACTCAGAATCAACCAAGGCTGGCAATGATTTGCTAAGAAAAACAAAAGGGGGCTTAAAAAACTGTGTTGGGGGCAAGAAGAAAATGGAAGTAGGGATCCACTCAATTGTGGTAGATGAAACTATGATAAATAACAGTGAAAAGATAACTACTCAAGTCGTTCTGCTGAAAAACCAAATGCTACCCTTAGGTTCCACTGAGGAAGGTGACACTTCTGCAGTATCCTGCTTTGGTCACCCCAAATGGGAAGGTCTGTGTTTGATTCTGGGAGTCAGTTTTTAGGCTGTTGACAAGCTGGAGTATATCCAGAAGGGAATAGTTGGGATGGCGAAATGATTCCAGATCATGCTAGATGGGAATCACTTAACAGAACTGAGATATTTAGCCTGGAGAAGACCAAGGTTAAAATATACCACTCTTCAAGTATACTGAATGACTGTCACATAGAAAAAAATTAAACTTGGTCTGCTTGGCCTCAGAGGGCAGAATTAGAAGAAAGATCTAGAAGTTTCAGAGACACAGATTTTAGCTTCATTGATATAAGGAGAAACTTCCTAACAAAACTGTCCAAAGGTGAAATGGGGGAAGGGATATGTAAGACAGGAATGGGTTCCCCCCATTTCCATATGGAAGCTAGAGGACCACTTATAAGAGAAGATATCAAAGGGATTCTTGGACTTGATGATCTCTGAGATTCGTTCCATCTTTGAGGTTCTATGGAAGTAATTATTTGCCCTCCAAAGCCATCCTTGACTCCATATACAGCTAAAGCATGACCTTGAGGAATCTGACAAAAATGAGAGAAAAGGCTTTTGAGGGAACAGGGAGTCACAAACAAGTACTGTTTGACCTTTATTTTATGGCCCAGGGGTTGCTGAATCTCTTCAACATGTGGCTAAAGGTCAAACAAGACAAATGGTTATGAAACCTCTCTTGGCCCAGGGAACAAGAAGATGTTATACTTACCAGCTACGTGCAACAAAGCTATACAATAAAAGACTAATAAGCAGCACAAGAACTCGTATATGCTGATTTGAAGACAAAATAGTGAGAGATTCACATGGTTTCAAGACCTTGGCAGAATTGTCCCCCAAAGGATGCTGGCTCTAAGGCAGTGCAGATAGACCCACAGGAAGGCTGAAATGCTTGGAGGCTTCATCCCCAGGCTAAGTTGTCAAGGGCTCAGGCCCAGTCCTGGCTTTGCCCATCTGGCCCAGTCTCCTGGGGTTGACTGTATAAACCTTACTCTATCCATGTGCAAAATGAAGATAAGTATGGCTGTTGTATAGCTACCTATTGCCTGGGGATGTAGCAGAGCTGCACTTATAAAAGGCAGAGGGCAAGGGGCAGTGTTGCAAGTCCCCAGATTAGAACTCCATGTAAGGTGCTTTGTACACTTATTAGAAGAGTTACACAAATGCCAGTTATTATTACTAAGGCCACAGGGTAGCACAGAGCACCTCAGAAATGAGTGCTATCAAAACTGTCTCATTCTTCTTATTGCTATGTTTTCTCATCTCTGCATTTAATTTGTATTATTTCCCCCTCCAGGAACGATCTCCCCTTCTACACCACCCAGCCAAATCCCCCCAGACTTCCAGGCCCTGATCAAATCCATCCCCTTTCACGAAATCTCTCCGACTTACTCCAAGCCACACTGATTTCTCCTTCCTCTAAACTCAGAATAGTTTTATCGGTTAAATCTCCTTAGATTTCTGTCTTGTCTCTCCAACTATACTGTAAGTTACTAAAAAGATTTTCTACTCATTTATTTGTTGTTGGGTTTTTTGTCCCAATTAATAAGCGTTTATTTTCTTTCCCTTCCTCCTCTCTTCTTTCCCTCTCCCCAGCCAATGGGGGAGAAAAAGAAACAAAACACAAAACCCTTGTAACAGACACGCATAGTCACACAAAACAAATTCCCGCACTGACCGTGGCAAGAATGAATGTCTCATTTTGCATCTCCTATCGCAGAGGCAACAAGGTGGCATGGTAGATAAAGCCCTAGATAACCTGGTTAGATTCTCGCTAGCTGTGTGGCCTTACATAAGTCAATCAACCTTTTAGCCTTGCTTTCCTCATCTGTAAAACTGGGCCTTATAACAGCACCCCTTTTAAAGGGCTTTTGTGGGTATCAAATTATATAATATATGTTAAGTGACTTCTAAACTTAAAATATGATATATTAGCTACTGTTATTATAGTCATACTACAGTGCCTGGTATGATGGTTTATACATGGTAGGTGCTCAGTCAACATTTGTGACATCTTAACAAAGGGTTAAATTAATTAGACAATGCTATAATCTTCAGGACTACAGCTCTTGGTGCCTTTACACCCCTTCACAATGCCTTTTTATAATAATAGTTAACATTTATAGAGTGCTTACTATATACGAGGCACTGTGCTAAGCACATTACAATTATATAATAATGATGATGATAATCATAAGAACTGACATTACATAGCATTTACTATGCACCAGGCATAAGTGCTTTACAAATATTATCTCATTTGATCCTCATAACAACCCTGGGAGGTAAATGCTATTATTATCCCCATTTCACAAATGATGAAACTGAGGCAAAGAGAGGTTAAGTGACATTGTCCAGGGTCACACCCTAGTAAGTGACAGAGGCTGGATTTGAATTCAAGTCTTTCTGACTCCAAGCCCATCTCTATCCACTGTTCCATGAAGTTCTGTACACTGGGCTCAGGATCTTTATGAACTCAGGAAAATCATTTCCCCTTTCTGGGTCTGCTTCCTCTTCTGAAAAAAATTATAGGAGGCAGGGGAGGGTTTAGATAGATCATATCCAATGGCCTCCCTAGCTATCACATGCTGGAATTCTCTCTTGATGATTCTAAATGCAGATGACTGTCCAGCTCATCAGATGTTTTCCAAGAGTGTCTCAACTGTCCTGGTTTAGAAATGAGGATGATGTGCTGAAAGGAAGCCTAGACCATCGCTAGCTCCCAACCCTCGCCAAAAGAGCACCTTTCCCTGTTGCCCTAGCTTGGCTGCCTCTGTGCTCTGCACAGTAAGTCCCTCAACACTGTTTGCCTCAGTTTCCTCATCTGTAAAATGAGCTGGAGAAGGAAATGGCAAACCACTCCAGTATCTTTGCCAAGAAAACCCCAAAAGAGGGTCATAAAGAATTGGACCCAATTGAATAACACCACCACTGCTGTTGCTCTGCAGAGCAGAAGATTCCAGCAGAAATATGAGGCTTAAAGGGCTGAGGTCCGGATGCCCGCAGAGCCTCACATATATATATAGTACTCAGTAAGTATATGTTGCTGCTGCTGCTGAGCTCTCTGGCCTGAAGTGGCAGAACATTCTGGTCCTGTTCTGCACAGCTTTAATTTCATCTGATTCCTTCAGAGGGTAAGAGGAACACACTTCAGAATGCCTCTTCATCTTCTCTATCTCTTTTTTCTCACATTCATCGAAGGCATTTATTGAGCTTCCACTTTGTGCATCATGCTGGACTAGGTACTGAGTGGGACAGAGAAATGGAGAAGACCATAGTTCCTGGCCTCAAAGAATTTACAGTCTAGTAGGAGACACAATAACTAGAGTACATGGTAAAGTATGAAAAGTCAATCAACAATCAATCAACAAGTATTTATTAAGGGCCCTTTATATGGCAAGCACCATGCCAGGTATGTGGGATACAAAGACAAAAATGAAATAGTCCCTGCCCTCAAGGAGCTTACATTCCATGAAGAGACAATATATGTACACATACAGATACAAAATGTATATAAACAATAAATACAAAGTGATTTTCTGGAGCAGGCCCTAGCAGTTGGGATCAGGTAAAGCCTAGGTAGGAGGTGGTATTTGAGCTGAATTTAGTTTTGAAGGAAACTAAGGATTCCAAGAGATGAGGAGAGATGGCATTTCAGGCATGGGGGTAGGGAGTGGGGAGAGGAGGCATCCTGTGCAAAAGCAGGAAGATGGGGTATGGTATGTTGTATATGAGGACTAGCTAGAAGGCTAATTTGGCTGGACCGTAGAGTACAGGAAAGAAAGTAATGTATAGCAATTCTGAAAAGGTAGGCAGGATATATGGTTAGGGTTATCAGGTATGGCTGGGTTGTGAAAAGTACAAACAGAGGAATTTGTATTTGATCTTAGATGAGATGGGGAGTCAGTGGAGTCTGGCGATCAGAGGAGTGACATGGTCATCCCTGTGCTTTAAGAATATTACTTTGCCAGCCATGCAAAGGATTGATTAGAAAGGGGAGAAACTTGATTGTTTTTCATCTCCTTTCCTTTCCCTCTTGGAGTCATTGGCTAAAACAACAGTTAAAAGATAGAGAAATAGAACCAACCCAATTGCTTTTTGGGAGCCCTGGTGAGACTGCATGAAAGAGAAAGGCTCTTGTCACAGATCCATGTAGTCCCAGGATCTCCCCTGTAGAGTCATTCTAAGTTTTTTGCAGGGTCCTTTGAAATAGCAGGATGCTAAAATATGTGTAAATGAAAAACACGGTAATTTTCATGGAATCCCAGAAAAAGGCCCTGGATAAGATACCTAGAAGGCACCTGCTTATCCATAATGGGCTATCAGCAAGGTCTACGCTTGAACTGTCAGAAATAGAGGGTCTGGGTTTTTGGGAAAAACTTTAGAAAGGCATGTCCCTGAGTTCTCTCCCAGGAAGAAAGTGTCTGGAGACTTTGTGTTTTGATGATGATAACTATGGCTATTAGTCCTAATTAGAATTCCAGTGAGAATTCAGTGTGGAAATTCAATTCCAGTCCTCTGGGATAGATCCCAAGAGAACAGCAGCTTCTGCCAAGTTTGACTAATGTAAATGTAGAAAAGACATTTCCCTTATTTGAAACGAGCAAAACTTTTTCTCTAATCGAGGACTGTGCAGGGGTCTGGCTTGAAACAAAACTGCTGGCAAAGGAATTTTGTATCTAATGTTGGAAAGTGGTTGATCCACTAGTTAACTTGCAAACGTAGACATATCAGAGTCCTGGCACCTAGACAGACAAATATGTCTTTGCCTTTTGGCTTTTGGCTTTTGCCTTTAATCCTCCAGGCAGATCTGAAAATCTGCATTTGGGTTTTCTGGATACACTCCTGAGACTGATAATCCAAAAACTTTCTCTCACTCTGATGAAGCCACTGAGGGTAAGTTGTGCCCATTGGAGTCAGTGACAGGTCTAAGGCAAGGAAGTCGAGGCAGGGAGAGGGAAGAGAAAGGGAACAGAAGACTAAGAGAAGAAGGTGTAGAGGGAGAGACTAGGAGAGAAAAAAGGAAGGAAAGAAGCATATTTGGTAGCAAACAATAGCACTGAGTGCTCTTCTTCTCAGCCAAGGCATGGTCATAGTACAAAAAAACAAGAACCCTCTCCTTCCTTCTTTACCTTCAATTGCAGCTCTTTGTATCTCTTGGACATCCGAATGAGCAATTTCTCACCATTAATCACAGCAGACTTTTCTTGGTAATATTGTACCATTGCCTGGGCAGCTTCAGTGTAAGCCATTTCCAGAAAAGCCTATACCAAAGAAAAAAAATACTTATTGGACTCATGTGTTAGCACTTTTTATTTGTTATTAAGAAGATCAGTCTTGGCCCCCAACCAAGGTGGTTCCGTTACTATGGAATCAAAGGCAGCTTGTTTTAAGATAGTCACATTGTAAAATCATTCCTTACTTGAGTCCCATGGTGTAGTGGAAAGACCCCTGCATTTGGAGTCAAGGAATATAAATTTGACTCCCATCTTTGCTACCTACAACCTGGGCCTCAGTTGACTCTCTTGTAACATGAGGCTGGATTACATGACTTTAAAGGTCCCTTCTAGCGTTAAATACCTGTGCCATTGCACTGACTGTTTCCCATGCATGGAATGCTCTTCTTCCTCAACTCTACCTCTTAGCTTCCTGGGCTTCCTTTAAGATTCAATTCAAAGCCCTCTTCCTACAGGAGATTTTTCCCAGGCCCCCCAGCTATTAGTGACTTCCATTCTGAGATCACTTTCCATCTACCCTGTATATATCTTGTATGTACCCACTTATTTACATGTTGTCTTCCCTATGAGAATGTAAGTTTTCTGAGGTCAGGGACTTTTATTGGCCTTTTTTTCGAATCCTTACTAGATAGCACAGTGTCTGGGCACGTGGCAAGGGCTTAATAAATTAATAAATGCTTAATAAATGCATGATCCTATGATTTTATGGCAGTTTATAATAAAGAAGCAAGGCACGCCAGAGGAAACACTGGACTTGGTATAAGGAAAAACATGGGTTCGAATCCTGCCTATGATACTTATAATAGCATCACAGGTTTAGAGCTAAAAGGAATACAGAAACTATCCAGTCATTTTATAAATGAGGAAGCTTTGGACCATATGACTTGTAAGGTCTCGTCCTGCACATGCTTAGCTATGCAAATGTGGACAAGTCACTAAATCTCTCTAAGCCTCAGTCTCCTGAAGATAATACTACCTACAGTACCTATCTCACAAGGTTGTTTAAGGATGAGGTATGTCCAATGCTTTAAAAACTTGAAGGTGTTGTATAAACACCTGCTATTATTAAGTTTACAGTATGTTAAATCTTAAATATGCATAACTAACTTGGGTGACATAATGCAAAAGTGATTCTCCTAGGATCAAGTCTATCGATAAATATTTCCTGAGTATCCCTTTATGCTAAGCACTAAATATTTTATATTATTAGTGATGGTGATGGTGTCTAGAGACATAATTATAAGCCCACAGTATCCGAATCCTGAGCGTCTGTGGACACAGAAATCATAGAATCCTAAAATGTTATGCCTGGAAGGGATTTTGGAAATCATGTAGTATAACCTCTTCATTTTACTAGTGAGGAAACTGAGCCCCAGAGAAGGGAAATGACTAGGCTACCATCATCACAAATGACATAGTTGCAGATCCTGTATTAGAACTAATTTCTTCTGAATTTAAGTCTGAAATGCATATGCCTGAAGTTATAGGACACAGGCAAAGCCTGGAAGTGTGTTTCTTGTGTGTCAAGAAGAAAGAAAACTATTTTGTTGACCACTTCACATTTTCTTCTCTCTTTAACTCCTCCCATAAAACATTATGGGTGTGTGGGGGTAGAGGTGAAGATATTTCTTCTGAGAATCTGTCTACCTGGTGTTTTTTGACTGATTATTTTGACCGGGTTAACCTGTTTGTTTATTCCAAAAGCTTTAAAAAAAATCAACTAAATTGACTGAAATAAATTCAACCCTACTTTCCATGAGGGTTGAGGAGGAAAAGGCATGGGTGACTAGGAAGCTCCAAGAGTGAGCACCTTATCTAAGCTCGAAGCCTTTCTCAAACCTTTGAGTTGAATCTCTTGTGACAGATTCAGGGGGGAAAATGTATATGAAATCCTTTTTAAAGAAAAAAAAATTAGTTTCTTATTAGCTACTTTCTCTGTTCTAGGCCAGCTCATAGCCAAGTGAGAAGGACTACGCAATCAGGTGCCATAGGTCAGATTCCCAGCCCTGCCAACCAGATTTCTATGTGATTTTTATATGTAAATCCTCTAGTAGTGCCAGCTATCAAGTAGAAATAAAAAAAAAATAGCGAATCCACAGCAGCACAGGGAATCTCAATGCATTTATATTGGAAGTAGAACTCTAGAACCTTTAACCAAAGAGAGTGGCCACACACCTTAGGATGAGCAAAATAAATGGAGGAATATTTGTGACTGAGTTGCCAAGTTTTATGAGGAACTGTGATGAGGAAAAAGAATCAGGGCCAGTGGGGAATCACCATAGAGAAAAGGCTTCTTCTTGCGTATCATGACTCAAAGGTAAAAGCAAGAATTTTTTGACTCCTATCAGAAAATTAATACTCCTTTTTGTCTTTGGAAATGGAGCTAAAAAATACTCAGTCCCCAGAATACCAGGCACTTCAGGAAATGTAAGATCATTCACTGGTTCTGCTCCTCATGTGTAAAGGGGAGCAGTAATATACCTTTTAATAATTTCACACTCTTCCCTGTGCTGGCTTGGGGCTGTTGGAAGAGCTAGATGTCAGAGAAAAGAGAGTTGACAGCTATCACAAAGCACTAATTGATAAAACCTGTTCCCAGTCAGCTCTTGACTGGCTCTAAATTCAGCCTAACACATCCAAGGGGTTGATGTGGAATATAGTATTAGCTCTGTGGGTAGAATATGGGGCTCCTGGGGCCAAGGTCATGGTTTCTATCTTTGTTATGGGCTCATTAACATTTCTCTGTTCACTGGTCACAGACCCTACCCCCAGCCCCAGCCACTGGAGACTTACAAAAAAAAAGGACAGAGTGAATTATGGCTTCAAGTAAAAATCTCAACCACTGGAAAGGATAACTTTAAGTGAATTTTCAGCTGGTAGTGGTGAGCTCCCTATACGGAAGGCAGTACTTTTTAGTTAATGTCATTCTTATCTATATAAATCTTATACAATTTTTTCTGCTTTTCTAGCAGATTTCTTGTATTTCGTGCAAAAGTACAGAATACAGCTGAAGGGAAAAGGAAAGATAAACAAACCTGATTGGTAGACTTCATGAGAATATAATTAGTTACTTTTCCAAAGGGGAGTCCCAAGTTAATGACATCATTCTCAGTGCAGCTTCCTTCAGGGAGATTGCAGATGTGTACCACTCGGCCAGCAGTGACTTTCCGCTGTGAAAACTAATGGGAACAAACGGTAGTGCTGGTCTTCAAAACATACCTCATTCATTCAGTCAGTCATTCGTTCTTTCATTCAGTCAACAAACAGTGGCGAAGTTCCTGTCCTTTATAAAGCCCTATACCAAGCTGAGAGCGATATAATGATAAATAAAATACAGCCCCTGTCTTCAAGGAACATGTAGACTAGCAGAGGAAGCAAAAAATAAAAAAATTCAAAACAAAATACGGGTGTACAGAGCATGAACAAGTCATTATGAAAGCTCTGAGAAAGGGAGGAAAATCTCTTTTGATTTTAAAAATCAGTGGAAGCTTCATGGAAAAGGGGGGTATTTGATCTAATCCTCTCTCAAGACTAGATACCTGCCAGCCTAAGTAGTATGACATGATTTTTGTGCAGTGCATAAACAAAGAAAAGTAATCTGTTTCCATAAGCCCTTGCTTGAAGACATTAGAACAGAACTTCTCAGAGGGCAGATTGCGTCTTTTCTGTGCTGACAAATTCCAGTTAATTCAATTCAATAAACATTTATGAGGTACCTAAGTGCAAGACACTATTCTGCACACCCGGGATAAAAAGACAACAAATTACATAGTCTCGGCTTATGCTCAAGCACTTTACATTCTACTAAGAGTGTATATGACTTCTATGCAGAGAAGTATAATACAAAGTAGTAGGTGATTGCTACTAAAGAGAGAACTAGATAAAATATTCATAAAAACTTGAGGTAGGAGAAAATATTTTCACACTTGGGGATTACAGAAACTTTCACCGATGAGTTAGCACCTAAATTGCGCTTTCGAGAACTGTTGTGAAAGGCAGAGATAAGGAGGGTACACATTACAGGCAATGACACATGAAGTCATGGAAATGGCATTTGAGTTCAAGGAAATACCAGTAGTTTAATTTTGTATGGAACAAAGAATAATGTCCAGTTTGGCTTGAAGGGGAGCAATGTAAAGTAAGCTGGAAAGGTAGACTGAAGATTGCCTTAAATGCCAGGCTAAGGCATTTCTGTTTTATCTTCTAGACAATGCGGAGCCAAGTGAAGTACTTTAAGGGAGACTGTTGACTTTTTTTTAGACCGTGCATTAGCAAGATGGCAGCTGTGCAAAAGAAAGACAGGAGAGATAGAGAGTCTGGACCAGGGACACTAATTAGGAGATTCTTATAATAGTCCAGGTGGGAGATAATGAGAGACTGAACTACACTGCTGGCAGTAAGGATGAGAGAAAAGGATGGATGCAAGAGATCTTATGAAGAATGAATTCCTGAGACTTAGCAACTGACTGTATAGGAGAAGCTGAAGGAATCAAAGATCTGAAGTTTCAAGCCTGGACAACTAGGAAATTAATAAAAAATAATAATAATATGCATTAAGGTTTACAAAGTATTTTTATAAATATCTCATCACAACCCTGGGAGGGAGGTGCTATTATTTACAGATCAGGAAACTGAGGCAGACAGAGCTTTAAGTCACTTGCTCAGGGTCACAAAGCTAATAAGTGTCTGGGGCAGGATTTTAACTCAGATCTTCCTGAATCTTAACCCAGCACTTTTTCCACTGTGCCACCTAGCTTCCACTTAGATAACATTTTAATTTAACTATTAGTAATAGCAATAACAGCTGGCATTTATACAGAAGTTTGCAAAGTGCTTAGTATCCATAATCTCACTTGAGCCTGACAACAATCCTGCAAGATAGGTGCTACAAATATTATCCCTGTTTTTCATGTGAGGAAACTGAAACTCAGAGAGGTTGACTTTCCTGGGGTCATACAGCTGGTAAGGACAACAGTATAAGAAATAAAATTTGACCTCAGGTCTTCCTGACTCCAAGTCCAGCATTCTGTCCACTATGGAATGCTGACTCTAAAGTGGGAAAGTGGGAAGATGAGTTCAGCTCCAGTCATGTTTCCACTTGAGGTGCCACTGGGGCATCCAGGGGGAGATTCTGGGTGCAAGGATGGGGGCAGAGAAGACAGTGTGAAGTCATGAGCACAGTGATTATTACTGAACTCATGGGATGAATAGGATCACTCAGGAAGAGAGTGTATTGAGAGGAAAATGGACTGCAGGATGGCCATAGTGGACATCCATACTTTGGGGGGTCAGAAAAATAACAATGAACCAGTCGAACCAATGAACCAGCAGCTGGACAGTCAGGAGAAGCAGTGCCCCAAAAGCCCAAACAGGAGACTTCTGAAGTGTTGATTGTCATGGAATGGTCCAGGGAGAGGAACCTTTAGAAAAAGTCATAGGATTTAATAATTACAACACTGGTGACCTCTGAGAGAGAAATCTCAACGGAGTCGTGAAGTTTGAAGCCAGATAGCAAGACATCAAATGGTTGGTGAGGGAGAGGGGAGCATAAACCATCCTTCTGGGCAGCAAGGAGGCATAGTAGCTAGAGTGCCAGGCCTGAAGTTAGAAAGACCTGAGTTCAAATCCAAACTTGGACACTTAACTAGCTGTGATACCCTAGGCAAGTCATTTAACCTCTGCTTGCCTCAGTATCTCAATTGGAGAAGGAAATGGCAAACCACTCCAATATCTTTGCCAAGAAAACTCTAGTGGGGTCATGACGAGTCAGACACAACTAAAAGCAACTTAACAACAACAGCAACAATATTAAGGTAGGTGCAGGAGTTTAAAAAAAAGGTTTTTTGTTTGTTTTTCAATGGATAGGGAAGACCTAAGCATATTTGTAAACACTGGGAAAAGAGCCCGTAGATAGGTAGAGCTTGAATATGAGAGAGTAATAGTTTTTATCTCTGTTATGTACAGCTTATTTTTTGAAACTTATATTAAATTTAACATGATAATAGCACCTGCCTTGCTCATCAGTGTCCTCTTCTGAATTTACTTCTACTCTCTTCTGTGTATTTCTAATGTGGCATTGCTAGTCTTTTCTTTCTTTTCTTATTTTTTTTATATCACTTTCACTACCCCCCTTTCTCTTCTCATAAGTCCCTAATAAAAGCCTACCCTTGTAACAAACAAACGTAGTAGGGCAAAATAAATTCACACATTGTTTATGTCTAAAAAGGCATGGTTGTTTCTGGAGATGGATAATATTTGATGTGGCAAGCCACTAGAGGAAATGAGAAGGCATGGGTTTTAGGGTACCAACAAAGGGATTAGTTTTGGTGAGGAGAAGGGCAACCTCATCCTGGAAGAGCAGCAGAAGTTGTAGAAAGATTGCAAAGCAAAGAGGAGAGGAATTGAGAGAACTTGGGTCAGATGGCCTCAATCTTCTCAATAAATTAGAAAGAAGATCATTCCCTGAGTGAAACTTGAGGATGGGCGCAGGATGGAGGAGTGAGAAGACCATGCTACCAAAGACTAGAGCTTTGGAATTGGAGTCAGAGGACCTCAGTTCAACTCCTGGCCCTGCTGATTAAAACCTGTGTGAGAGTGGGCAAATTATTGAACCTCTTAGGGTCTCAAATTCTCATCTGTAAAAGGAGGGGGTTGGACCAGGTAATCTCTCAGGTCCCTTTTGGCTCTAAATCCACGATCTATGAAAAGCCATTGTGAGGAGTAAAAAAGAGCATTCTTCATAGATGAAAAAAAGGATTGCGGTGCAATGGTGAGACCCAAGGTGGGTTCAGACAATATGAATTTATAGTAGGCCCAGTCCATATGGTCCTCCAACAGCTTTTAGCTATTCAGAAGTAGGATCCAAGAAGGGACAGTATGATAGGAGTGCATGAGGAGATGGGTCAGGTTCCTAGGGTTTGTACAGTGAACGAATAGGGAGGAAGAATCCATGCCTGCACACCAAGGCCCACATATATAAACAAAGACATTCAAAATGATTGATAAAAGTCGTTAAAAAAGAAGCTTCCAAAGGGCAGGAATTATGTCCTTCTTATGCTTATAATGTTTAGCACATATCAGTAGCTCAAAAAATACTGAGGCATGAGTCTACTCTATGAAACAAAAAGACTCATCTCTAAAAACAAACAGGTTACAAGATTATACTTTAAATTTCCATAGCTAAAGTAAAATCTTACTTCAAACTAGGATTTAGGTCTGGGTTGCCTCCCCCCACCTCTCTCTCTTTTTTTTTTTTTTTGTGAGGCATGAGGTCAAGTGTCTTGGCCCAGAGTCACACAGCTAATAAGTGTTATGTGTCTGAGGCTGGATTTGAACTCAGGTCTTCCTGACTCCAGGATTGGTGCTCTATTCACTGCACCACCTAATTGCCCCTTGGGTTGCCTCTTATGTAAAGATAATAATGTAACTGGAGATTTGTGCAAGGGCTATTACTTGGCAATTCCATTTTGAAAAGGTTTTATTTCTTCTTTGTACTGAGGACAATTAAATTCACTAAAAATTCCTCTTTTGGAGTTTAGTCTCAGATAGGAGGCTAAGTGCCTCACATCATACCTCTTCCTAAAGGGACTCAGACATCAATTGCTCTCCCAGTGGTAACTATTTCCCAAAAGTGGAAAGACCAGTCTGCATGTTGTTAATGAAGTTCCCAAAGCAATCACCCATCTCCCTTAAGTGGAAATGGAGCTTTCTGCATTCTGTGCAAAGACAGATCTACACATGTAAGAGGTATGTAACTGAGCTGAGCTAATGACATTTAGAACCCTTCTGAGGAGAAGGATGGGAGTGCCCTTTTAAAGAGCTCTGGATCTCAGACCTCAATTAGAGTGAGCAGTTCAAAGCAAGATGCAAATCAAGTGAGTTTTCAAGATCAAGTTCAGCAAAGTGGTTTCTCATTTGGGTTTGGCAAGCTGGGAGCTGGTATATGTCTTTGTGCCCAACTCTTCTGTGGTCAACATACAACTTCACTTAGGCAAAGTTGCTATCTGCACTATGAATGAAAAACAAAACATACCCCAAAACTCTGTAAAGATTTTAGCACACCTGTCCTTGCCCCACTGCCCAGTGATGAGGGAAGTAAAGAGCAGTATCAGCTTCAGAGTTTTCTCTCTAGCTTGAAAGAAAATTCTGAGTTCTCATTCCCACATTATTAATGCAATCA